ACCTAAGGGAGAGTTAATTAAGAATAAGGAAGGTTTAAGATATATATGGCGAGCGAAGTATCGATCCTGGAGCCCGAAAGAGCCAAAATTGAGATTGGAATGGAGAACATTCATTAGAAAACGACGGATTTACTCGATGGGGAGAATATGACTGATATAGGGAATGAGTCAGGTATGGTGCTATCTAAACCACCTTGCTGCCGGCACTGCCCGTTAGAAATGAGGGACATCAGAACGGGATCAACTCGAATGTCCCGAAGAGAGATGCACATTTGAAGAAGCCGTCCACCATACGGAAGTCTAAAAGCGCCGCGTTAAAGGACTCAGTGGATAAGGGACCTGCGAAGATGAACGTCTTCCTAGGGAATGAGAGGGAAGAACCTATCCTGTCAATCGAGTCTTTGAGGCTGTATTATGAGCGAAACGCAGACTACGAGGATTCTTCCTAAATATAGAGGGATGACCACCTTAAGAAAACACTAGACGGGGAGTGCCGGAGGTTGATGGTGATATATCGATACTCGAGAGGGGAGTAGATGTGAACGAACAAGTGTGCTAAGCCCGGGGTCTAGGAAGATGTCCCTACTGTCTGCCCTAATGGGGTAGAAAGGAGATTGTATGATATAATACGCCAAGTGTTTGAAGAGGGCGCGGATGTGAAATACCCGCCTGATGACGTTAGTGAAATGACCACCCCCCGAGGCGCGGTGTAGGTGGGCTTCGACAAGGTAATTAAGGTACTCCTAGACAGCGGTGTAGATGCGAACGCAGCACTACTAGCGTATTCGTGCGGAGGCACAGCTCTATACGCAGCGACGGATAGAGGTCTCAGCTAAAGAAGGCCACGAGGAAGAGATTGAAATTCTTTTCGGAGCGGGTGCAGATGTGAATACACCCAAATCTTCACCTTTCTGGCTCGATAGCAACAACTAGGGTACTCTATATTCAGGATGAATATTGGCGCGTTGTCTTCATATCAGCTCTGGTGGTGGTATGAACCAATTTTTACTCATCAAGTATCACATTCTCACGAGCCTACAAATTGTTGCCAAAGGTAACTCCGAAAACGATTTCAACTACTACTACCATCTTCACTCGAATTGGGTCTCGACTAGTTTGATACCCTATTCTCCGTCATTCGGCTTTCAATGGGAACAGTGGACCGGGGATTGAAATCATACGTTATCACTCGTTCCTGTATCTTCCTGAAAACCTGCTAATACGAAGCCTGATTGATTGATTGATTACTTCATTAATTGTATGCTACTAATACGAAGCTTATCGGAGCGAAAGTTAGATTAATAATATTTTATTTTTTGTGACGAAATAGCATGATGTTATTTCACAATGCCCCCATTGTAGCCGTCAACATTCATCCGCATTCACAGTCCTCATTTCAGCTCATTATCAAATAGAAAGAAAGAAACAAAGCAAAAGAAAAGAAAACAACCGTGATCTGGTATAATGAGTCCCTTATTTTCGTCTCAGTCGAAAGGAAAAAAGGGGGAAAGCCTATCCATCCATTTAAACAACAATCGCAAACGCAAATACCATAGCAGCCCCAATGACTGCTCCAGTGACAACATTGCCCTTCAAAGTGCTTGCGGCATTCTCGTTTGGAGTAGCAGTGCTTGAACTGGACGGGGTAACCATTGAGGTACCAGTTGGAGTGGGAACACCGGAAGTGAATGGCACCTCGCTGACACGGGTCGCAGATTCGAAGGCAGGTGATTGTGATTCACCTGCATCGGTGTTGGGTTCATCATCCGTGTTGTTGGGGTTGAGAACACTGAATTGTCAGTACAAGCAGGTAACTTATGTGATGTATAAGGTCTTACCCGTCAATAACATGAACAACTCCGTTGCTGGTGATGACATCGGCAAGGATAACCTGAGCCCCATTGACATACAGCCTATCATCCTCGGTGCGAATTGTCAATTGACCACCTTGTAGTGTTGTCAGCTCTTGGTCGTCGCTCAAGCCACTTGAGAATTCCACAGATCCGACGACGTGATAACTAAAGAGATATTAGCTCAACACCTACAACTATGCCTAGGGGGAACTATAGACTCACGTGAGGATATCCATGAGAGCCTCATTACTGAGACTGGGCAATAGGTTTCCAATTGCCTGGAAAGCCTCGTTGTTTGGAACAAAAATTGTGACGGATTGAGCAGTATCAACAGTATCAACGAGACCAGCAGAGGTAAGGGCACCAGCAGCAGCTGTCAAGTTCGCAGCGATAGCAGTGGTGGAAACATTCATTGGTAGTGTAAGGACGGTATCGATCACGTGGATAACACCACCATCGAAAGTAACATCCTATTGGATGTTTGTGTTAGGGATAGCCAAATAAAATAAACTTGAGAAAATACTAAGAGGTCTTACAGCTGTAGAAACTGAGGAGTTCATCTTTGCTCCGGAGAACAAAGTTGGGTTCCTATTGATGTTGATGGCCTCAACGACTTGTTTACCTCCATTGGAGAAGTTGCCAAATCTCGGGTCATCCAACATTGTGGGCAGGAATTGAGGGGTGTCCCTAAATGCATCCGATCTGTAGACTCCCTCAAGCACATGGTAGGTTAACAGAGCAGTGATAGTAGAGTTGTCCATATCCATTCCGGAGGAGGCATTCATCAAGGCAGAGAATGCTTCATTACTGGGAGCGAGAATGGTGATGTTCCGGGCACTTGACAAGGATTGAGTGACATCAGGAAAGCTTTGAAGCACTGCAGCCAGACTGGAGACAGCATCGGTGGAGCCCAAAACCTGTGACAGACTCTGGGCGAGAGATGCAACCGGGAGAGAGAGGAGGAGAGGTAAAGACAAGAGCTTGTTGGAAATCATGATGGTGATGATGATTTACGTGATGTGGTCTAAATTCCTCTGGATAAAGAAGCGGCGTCAAGGTAGCTGAAGGATGTAAGGTAGAGATGGCTGGAGAGAAGGAGTCGAGGGGATAAAGGGAAAGAAGGAATTTATATGGGAGGCCAGGTCTCTGTGGAATTTTAAACCCTGGCTTCGGTACTTTGTGTTCCGTACATGTATTCACCAAGAGAAAGTAAAGTTTAGATACATGTATGTAGCAGGTACTGAAGGTACTGATACATGTAGCACACCAGCGAATAACCTCCTGCGTATCCCGCTGCTCGAGGATGTAGGTGACGTCTATTCAACAACGTCCAAGACAATCCAAGACTACCAACTGTCCATCAAGTTCGTATTTAGGCATAGAACTCGTAAGCCGCTCTGCCAATCCAGGACTATCGGGGCAGAACAGAGTAAGCACTGCCTCTGACAAGACGACGGTCTGAGACGCAAACGTTTTATCACCAGTAGAGTGAGTACATGTACTCTACGTATACACGCAGAGTAAATACTCCAGAATTTGAATCCAAGGCCACAAGATACATGTAGGTAGATGTACCCGTGCTCACTCTCTCACTCACAATTTATCCATCCATCCCTCAAAATCCCATCTACTCAAAGATCGGGTGCAAAGCCATCTAACTAGGGCCACATATGATGTCTTACCAAGACTCATCCCAGTTAGACTGTCAGAATCAGGCAGGAAAAATGTACCTACCGGGAACTCAAATGACAAATATCAACACGCGGGACAGCATCCCAAGCAACAATACACCTTGGCTCTTTCGTCATCAACCACCAAAACGGAATTTTTGCGATCGTTGTTCGGAACGATGATGAGGGTGGATCGTGACTTGGCGACTTGGCTTATTATGTTGTTGGTCTTTTATTCCTTCCCCGCATTTTCAGGGGATCTTCTCAGGGATGCTCAGGCTGTGTACCTTGCCGCTGCGGAACGATCATGGTACGGGCCTTAACCTAATTTGTGGGAGTGTATTTCCGTAAGGTAGGGCACTCCTCTGAATCGCTTTGCATGGGTGTACTACATGTACCTACAGCGATAGGAATGATCTATGGAAAAAACAGTTATATGGTGCACAGATATTTCGCTATACAATTTCACCCCCCCTGTTTTTCCATAGATCATTCCGGTCGCTGTACGTTTTTGTTCTACTTACATGTAGTTGATCTGATACCTGCTCTACCTATTGTGAAAACCTTCTTTTTTTTTTCTTTCTTTTCCTTTTTTCGTTCGGAGAGAGGCATGTAAAACTGACCCACTCGGAGACGTTTTCAGGCTGTTTCGTGATCTATGATTGTGGTGATGGATGATTATCTTGATTCTTGATAATGATGAAGGGATAAGCCCAGGGGAAAATCCCTTGTATACAATGCTATGCTAGTGCCAGATATGCTGTGACCTCAATTTGCTGACCCGTGTCTTAATCCGTGCTTCTGCCAAGACTGCGCCACAACGTTCCTGGTGTTTATTCCGGGTTTCTGTAGAGTCTTGGCAAATTTCATTGCAGTTGGCCTTACAGCAGGCAATAGGGTTCCCCTCGCTTGTAATCGGTCATGCATCAGAACTCTTTCATCACGTCATCTTGGATTCAGCATGGGCTTATGATTATCGACATAATAAGGTTAAGTGCGTCGTCGCACTCCATAAGAACCGCTCTTTTACTGCATGTACCATAATGTGTACTCGGGTTAAGCTTACTCTACATCTCATGATCATGTGTAGGTATGTACATCATACATGTACCTACATGCACTCTATTACAGCAGTTTTCGTATTGTCTGTCCGCACTGAATTAACACACATAAGGTGATTTCCGCGTTAGGAAACCGTAATTACTCTCTTAGGTAGGTATGGTTGGATGTAATCTAAGTGTTACCAGCAATAAGCCTAAACGGGCCGTCACTTAATGTGTATGCGATTCGGAGTCGGTAGACAATATGAAAACTGCTATAGGGTCATCATGTGTATTATGTGTATTACATGTATCTCTGAAAATAATGTGTATGTGGCCTGGCCCGCAAACGTCCATACATAGATAAAACGCCGATGAAAAAATCATCCATATACCTTCCTAAATAGCCTCCAAACTCCGGTCATATCATAAACTCATCAAGTCATCATAACGGTGTGAACGTCGAAAACTTCATTTCTCCAACCACCTGTAGCCTCATCGTCTACAATTTCACCTGCTCTCTCCCCCTCTTCTTCCCAAATCCCCACCAAACTACCCGGCGTCCTCTTGCCTTCGAAAACACCTTCTCGCCTCTGCGGCAACATACCCATGCGAATATCCACGTCTGGATTCTCCGCAGGTGTCAATCTTGTAATCACAGCACGGATAAACTTCCTCCAGTCATCGGGTTCGGAAATTCTGGTTGCCCGTAAGCGCTCTCGGGCGAACAACAATTCTCGGTTTGCAAACTTCAATGCGTTCTCAATGCTTGCTGCTATCTCCTGTTCAAGTGTTCTCCGTAACACTCGGCGTATGATAGGCTTGAATAGCCACGCTGTAAACGAAAAGTATGATTTTTGCAGCGTGTACGATAACTTATGAATTTTGACACGCACACCACGCAGACTCACAATCTGGTCGACGCGGTCCCTTCCAAATTCAACATCGAGATGGATGTCCATGCCTCTCTTATCCATTTGGATACCAGCCAAGCCACACTCGCTGAACCTCAAGAGTCCTTTGTGAAGGCGGAACCAGTATCCTACCTCATCTGCGCGCATTGTGATCCCTTCTATCTTGATCGTCGCAAAGGAGTCTAGACTTGCAGTGTTACGGTGAAGGCCTTTGCGAATCTCGACATTATTTTGGGCCTCGATTCTAAGGCGGAAGGGGAAAAATGATGAATCATTTATCGTGTCGCCCGGCTCGATGATTAGATTCTCGACCAACAGGTCAATCTCAGGTGCAGAAATTGTGAGGCGTGGAATCGGCACAAACTGAACCAACTTGAGAGCAAGCGGGAGAAGCACGTAGAACATATCCGATGTAAGATTGGGATTCATGATGTGATCAGAGGAAACTGGAAATAGGGTATGAAGGATTGTGCGGGATGTGGAGAGTATTCTAGCCACAGAGGCATCGTTAATGATTGAAAGGTATACAGCATGTACTTGTTCAAGCAACGCATCCACATCTCCTCTGACAGTCCCTTCAGTGCCAACACCGCGTATCTTCTCGCGGATTGCGGATAGTTTATCTTCTGCAGATGAGACGAAATCTGGATCTGTTAGGAAAGCTTGAACCGAACTGCCAAGATCGTCCATAACACTTTCAAATTCTGCATCGCGATGGATATGGCTCATTACTCTATCCCACCGTCTCGAAAGCTCATCCCACTCTCGTTTTTCTCCGAATGACTTGAAAATACTTGTAAAACATATGAGGGCTCTGTCCAGCTCTGGATTCGGTTGTAGGTCTTCTCCCAAAGCGGCGGCTGTGTTGTCTAGAGCTCGGGAGTATGTGTACGCGTAACGCTTGAGAAGAAGGGATAGAATCGAAACAGATTCTGTATAGTCTGTGTTTCTCCTCAGCCGGAGGACAGCCATTCGCATCCGGCCAAATAAGGCATCCTTTCTGTCGTCCTGGCCAAACTCTCTCCTTGCGCTGTCTATTGTTTCTCCAACAGTCTCAGCTACTCCCATCACCACTGCGTCCGCAACCTCCCGCGCCGGCACTTCCACAACATCCTCTCTAGGGATATCAGACGCGAAAACAGTGTCTTTTGATGTAATCGCCGCGAGTTCGTTTTTGTCGGGTGATATCGTTTCGGCGACTGTTTGCGCAGCGGTTGCGGATGCTGTAGCGGTGTCGGCAAGGACCTGACGGATGAGCGTAGTTACATCTGAGAATAGCTTTCGAAAGTCGCCGTTTGCCAGTAAGAGATCGAAGACGGTTTGAAGTGAGTCGTATGCTATACAAAAATCATGTCAGCGACAGTAAATGGGAAGGTAATCAATACTTATTACCAGCTCTTGCGTCCGCCCTGGCCTTCGAATTTGTGGCTGCTTGCACCAAGTCTTGGGCATCTAATCCAACTCTGGCCTTCCCAGCACACCACAAAAACTCTTGCAACTGATCTTGTCCATTTTTCTCCTGTAGTAGCTCAATGAACTCCGTGATAAATTTCCTGACGTGACGCACAAACTTCCGGCCATCAGCTGTCAACTGGGTATTGGTAGGGTTCAAGATATCTGCGGAAAGGAGCGTTCGAAGCTGGACTATGGTCTGCTCTGTTGAAGGGAAATAGCCCTTTGAGAGAGCACGTAGCATCTGGTATGTGTGCAGCTTTCCATGGGCTTTTCTTTGGAGTGCAGTGTTCTCATCATATTGGGCGAGAAGGGGCTCCGTGTCGGGGCGGTTTGAGCTTTTGCGAGAACCGAAGCAGGGCATTGTGTATGATTTTTTTGTTGATATGAGGGATCTCGAAGAGAATTGTGGATGGAGAACAGTCCATGGGAGGCAGGAGAGATATAAATTCAGATAGATACCTGAGCAGTACAAACCGGGATTTATAGACAACTACCAAGAAATGGTGATGTCATTGTGTCACCGCATGCATTATCACTCGGAAACGGAAGAAGCCGCAGATAAACAACCAAACAACATGCGTGTCGACATGCATGTAAATGCAAGAAATAAACATAGAGTAAACCAACCCACTACGCGATAAAATACACAGGAGATCATAAAGTATTCTAGACCTTTGATTCAACTTCTGCCTCCACCGCCCAGTGCAATTTCTTCTCTTCCGGTTTCTGCATGTATGCCTCAATGTGCTCTGGCACCACCACCAAGAGTCTAAAGTCCTCCGATATCTCCTTAGATTCCTATTTCGCCGGGAACGGCCGTTAGCAACGCTGGATCATGCACAAACGAAAAAGAATGAACTTGAAGGGCCACAAATAAGAACGCGCTCACTCACCCCAAAGCTCTCCCTGGATTTCGCATCTAGACCGTCATATATCTTCTGTAGCTCCTTCTCCCAGCTCCAGTTGTGATCGGATGTAGTGAGGTGCCTATCAAGCTCTTTTCGGCCGGCAGCTTCGAGTTCGCCTTTACCTCCAATCACAACGGCGTGACCGCGAATCCGCCATTGCGTTCCCGCAGGCGCGATCCAGAATACTGCTTCTACCTGATTGGAGAACGCTAGGTCTTTGAACTTTGTTTGCTGGGCGTTACCAGTGATGAAAAATACATCTGACCTTGTAGATGGATTGCGCGATTCTTCAGGTATTTCGCTCTTTTTGGAGTAGCTGTAAATGTGTTTATTATTAGTTGAACTGGGAAACAGATTGAAAATGCATGTATCATGCTTTTTCTCGAAGGTGGAAGAGCCAGATCAATCGACATACCTTGTCTCGCCTAGGAATCCCTTCAAGGTCAATGTCCTGACATGCGGTACCGACGCCTCCGCTACCGTTGCAAGCTGGAAGAAGTTCACCGGCTGTTTAACGAGCTGGTCCTGCAACAACACCTTCCACTCCGGATCTGCAGGGAAGTGGGAATGGACCATAGTGGTAGTCCTGGTGGTGTTGAAGCTTAGGAAAGATTGGAAAGCGAGTGGAAGTAAAGTAAAATAATTGCGCATTGGTTAAGATAGTTATCAGGAAGTTAGACAGCTTTCTTCCATCTAACAAGGAGATATTATATAGCCTTGCTTGTGAGCTGTGATCCGCTTCGGCGGCGTGCTTTCTCTTGCGAAAACAGGCCATATGATCAGGTGTTTGACATGGTACAGGATCAGCTCACATTACCTTGCATCAATGGGTCGAGGTCTGCAGATACATAATACGATAATCATTAGTAGAATGTAGTAAACATTCGAAAAAAATCATAAGTCGTAGAGATAGGACGCTTTTACCTCATCAACAGCAAATCTGTATATAGTTTACATGTAGCTCTACATGTATGTACATGTAGGTGTTGGTTTGTGTCACGCTGAGAGGTCCTGCCACACCTAGATCAGATAAGATTAGATAAGGTTATTGCCAGTAACGAGTCCCAAATGATGCAATTCTAGTCTACTTCTACTGATTTTAAAACCTTGCTCTGGGATATCAACTAACAAATACATATATACACATACCTGTATTTATCTAGGCTCGTGCTTTCAGGAAAGAACACGTTCAGTAATACCTATCGATCCACTAAACAAACGACAAGACAGCTTAAAGTAACTTTTAGTTCAAATTAAATTTCATAAACCTCCCGAGTACATAGATATGAAGTCAAGATCGACAACAAAAGAACATAATAAGGAACGTTTTCAAAAAACATATATAACTCCCTTGTACCACCTCTCGAGATTTTTCAAATTTCCCTTCAGACACTCAACGAAATTCCATGTATGCTTGAGCAGTTACTTCTTGCTCTATCCCTTAAACACACATACCAGATAAACATTTATCCCATATGCGCTACGTTCGCAATAGCCATACCCATCCCTAAACTCCACGCGCACCTTGGTTGATTTATTGATAAATTCAGATAATAGGGGGCGCAGGCATTTGGCGGTATCCTCCGTGGTCACTATCCCCATCACCTGGATGGTTACAGCACATAGCTGCTTCGACTCTCCTCATCACAACGCCAACCATCCATCCGATACTATTCGCGAGAATAGAGGCGTTTTTATTGCGTACGTATTCGCCGCAAGAAAAAAAAGGTGTTTGCCAAGGAGAAGGAGGTTTTTCCCATTCCTTGACAGCGCGTGTCCATGTGTTCCTATATCCTTTACCACGAAGTTTGATTCCCCTTTGGAGGCCGTCGAGTGAAACTGTATGTATATGACCAGAAGATCCTTTATCTCTACTGGGACGTGATCTCTTAATCATTGTTCCACGGTGATTCTCACTGCACCCACTACCACCGCTGTAGTCTCCCTCCTTCTCCAAGAGCATCTTTGCCATATTCTTTCGTCCCAAAGATGTAGCTTCGCCCAGTGCTGTCAGTCCGTCCTTGTCAGTGGCACAAATATCTGCACCTGCCTCCAACAGCAGATTGACAACCGCACAGTGCCCACTCGCCGCAGCAGAATGCAAAGGGGTCTGCCCGTCTTTCTTCCTATACATGATCTCGGCTCCCTCCTCCACCAGGATCCTCACAATATCTGTATAGCCTGCGGAGGCTGCACAATGCAGTGGGGTTTCTCCAAATCTACCAGTTGCGTTGATATCTGCACCTTCCTTCAAAAGGTACTGCACCAGCTTGACATGGCCCGCTGCGGCTGCGGAGTGGAGAGGGGTCCGTCCTTGCTTGTTTTTGAGTTTGACATTTGATCCTCTTCTTTCTGCGAGTAGGCGGACGACATTGAGGTTTCCGTGGTGTGCTGCACAGTGCATATCGGAGCAGCGGTGTGGTGCCCTTTTAGTAGATCGACCTATCGTTTAGTTAGCAAAAAGTCCGCCTCAGAGATATTCGCGTGTCCCTAACCACTAGTCCGCCCCTTTTTGCCCGTTGTCTCCAATTCCTCCCGAAACCACGGTTCTCTGAGCGCCGAATGAGCGGTCAACCTCGCCTCCGGCTCCGGCATCATTAGATTTGCAATGAAGGCTATAGCATCCTGACTCGCCTTTCGCTCCACCAGTTTCGACTCTGGAAACGGGATGAGACCTTCCACATAAGATATCAACTTTCTCGTGGCCGGGAACGGTGTTTCTTTTGTCAGAAGAGCAAATATAAGGCATCCGAGCGACCACATATCCACCGCACAGGTGTACACGGACGAATCGTTATCAAATAAATCCGAAACCTCTGGTGCGACGTAACCAAGTGTACCGACGGTGGTTCTCAATTTGGTCCCTTCCTGCAAACGCTTTGAGACTCCGAAATCACAAATCTTGACGATGATAGGTGATGGTGAAATGACTAGGATATTCTATTGATTGATGTGAGCCACATGCTCTGAGAATCATATGTTTACGTTCTAATTACCTCTGGCTTTAGGTCTCGGTGGCAGAAATTGTTGTCGTGCATGACTTTTAATCCATCGAGAATTTGTCGTGAGATACTCTTCACATCACTCTCCGCAATAGGTGCACTGCTCTTGTTAATGAGCTTACTGAGGTCACCATGCTTGACATACTCCATCGCGAAGTACATATCCTCCTCGCTCTCGAACCAGCCAAAGAACTGGACGAAATGTTTCGGATACTACAGAAAAGTTCAACTTCTTTAGCAAAGGCGTCATCCTACCCCGAAAGTGAAAGGGGTATTTACATACCACTGTCAGCTTTGTGAGGGTCAACAACTCCCTCAGATGTAGCGCGTTAGTGGTCTTTGCAATCCTTTTAACCGCTCTCAACTGCTGACCCTTCTCCTCAGATTCCAACCAAACCGTTCCAAATGCCCCTCTGGCCAAGAGCTTAACCCTCTTCCATGTCTCAAATCTTCCCATTGCCATTAGTGGGTTGGCTGGTATAGTATGCTGAAAGGTAGACCCATTATTGCTAAATATTGTGTTGAATTTATACCGTTCAGCCTCGCCGAGCAGCGTGCTCGGAGCCATCATTGAAGATTTCCCGCCGATGGGGGCGGCTGTCGTGAATGTAGTTCTGGCAGTTTATATGGTGTTGATGGTTTTTACCCAGTAGGACAATACAATATCAACTGAGAGACCCCCTAACGGACACAACAAGAGTTGTTGGTACGTTGATTTGATCTGGGGCTTAAAAGCTAGAGAATATGGTTCGAGATGATACCGCTACAGAAATAGTACATATGAGGGGCTTTATGCGTTCTTATACTCTCTTCACCCTCCCCCCTCTGTACCCTTGTCGATCGTAAAGACTAGCATTCGCTGCGCCTCCTACCCATTTTGATAGCCTGTCAAAACTTGCTGATCGCCCCTGTCAACTACGCAAACAAGACACAGACTAACAAGTCAGCCAGTAGGCTCGTAGAGAAATTCAATAAGCTTAAAGAAAGTATAGTAATAAAGGCTCCAGTAAGCCGCAGCCTAGGTATTCTGCAGAACTAGATTCCTCACATCACATTACATCAGCTATTTACGTGTCTTGGTCGTAGGCTTGGTCAAATGCTGTCTAAAATTGTCTCTCCTCTAGTTCGCTTCGCGCGCTCAGCCACCAACATATGTACCCGTTTCCGGGCCGCACATATATACATATTCCGCCTGAAGTCGACGGAGGGGACAATCTTTTCCCCTGGGCTTGAGCAGGTACTGTCGTTCACGGGGTATTGGCGGATACTGGGTGTTGGCGAATTGCAGGTAAAAGTTGGCTTGGCTGTCTCTTTTTTGCCCTGTCCGCCATCACCCAGTATCCGCCAATACCCCGTGAACGACAGTACTCTAGACCGTTGGGTTTAAGACGTTTCATCAAAGAAAGTAGCTAGTGGTGGCTCTAGGCAGCAGCGCGGTCGGGTGAAGAGTTCAGATAAGAAGATCCTGGTATTAGATACCTAGCTGTGTGTAGGTACGGCTGACTCCGCGTGGTTCTGGATGTCGCGCATATGTGCCAGATAAATCGAATACCATGTAGATCGGAAGGGTACTATTGCGACTAATTCTGAAAAAAAAAGACGCAGTATCATCGAGTTGGGTCATCCCCCAAAGTGCTTCTGATGCAGTCATTCCCCTGTGCAGCACAACGTACGAAAACCTGCAGTGGAAGAAAAGTCAGCATAAGAAGCAAAAAGCCTCCTCTCCGCAACAAAAAGAACAAGAAATATTATATACCGATAGGACTTGTGAGGTGAAAGAGAGACGAGAGGCGTACCACTTCTTAAATACAGGAGTTGGGGGTACATGGAAGAGTCATATCGCCAGAGCTCAGCCTTGATTACTCACTCAGCCACGACAAGTGTCGGTCAGGCACTATCACTCGGTGGATTTTTTACCACTTTATCGCTGTATACTGATTAGACTTTCAGTATCGCATTCCTTGCAAGGTCTCAGATGGAAAGAGGGGGGGGGGGGGGGGGGCACGGGCCGCTGTGGTGTTTCCCGGATGGTCGCTAAACACCAATGATAGTAGTCTAGTTTAGGCGCTCGGGAGTTGAAGGTGTATAGTTGAGTTTATACTACGTGATTGCACTGGAAAAATACATGTACTTCTAGCCGCTGCGATCACAGAAGTCAATATATTCTTTCTACTTGGACATGTGCCCCTGTGTTTGCTAGTGACTTCTTGTACTAATAGCAAGTTTAAAATCTTGACATAAACTCTTCCATCCCCTCTCTCTGGCCTTTTAGGATGTGGAAATCAATGCCCCTCCCGAGGGGCCCAGAAAACTCATCATCCCATTCTTCCCTTACTTCAGAGGCCCTCCCATCAGATTCCAGATATATTTCCAGATGGTCCCCTTGCCGACTCCCCCAACAGGAGGGGACCCGGTTAGATATACATATCTTGGGATCGAAGAGGAGCATACCTGCGCCTCATCAGCGATATGTGGCTCGTGCCAGAGCTGAAGTACAAGCACCAAGGCGGGCTTCTCAAAGCACATCTGCGCCTTGATAGGCGCATGCAACACTAACAAGCGATGCCCGGCCAATCCCCCGCTCTCTTCAAGCCCTTGCTCGGCACAGACAGCCCAAGGCCCAAGAACGAAAAAGAGGTCCTCAGAATCAAATCGTCCAGGAACATAAGAGGCGCGAAAAAAAAAAAAGCCTCTCCCCGTGAGGGAGAGGCCAGGGAAAAGCAGGAAAATAGCCTCCCGTAAAGGAGAAGCACCGAATTTCCCACTATGTAAGGCAGACGCACAAGTGATATCTTACCCCATGATAGGGCAGTTCGGTTGCCGTCTAAAACGCCGGAAAGGACGCAGAGAAAGATCTGTGGCTATGGAGGCAAGAGGTTAGAAGCACTAGTTGTGGCCCGTGAGGATCGAAGGTAGGAGGAGGGGTCCGGGAGGGAGGGAGCTGGGGGTGATGGGAAGCCTATCGAGAGGCTGTGATCCCGGATGGTGCACCCAGTTGCGATGCCTACAGTAGCGAATATTGATGAAGAAGGAAAACATGGGAAGCTTTCCTTTTATAAATACGCCGCAGATGCAAAGACTACATGTTCTGGGGACTTTGGCTGCTGAGGGGGGCGTACGGCGCGAGTCACAGTACATCACTCGAGCGCCAAGCCTCTCCATTTCCACGCCCGCCGTTGTTGGTAACTCCCTTGGCTGTATTACTTTACAACTCCACACACTAAGCTCAGTACATGCAGAAACGCTACAGATAGATGGCCTCCCTATCCCTGCGGACCCCCTCCTTACTCAGATAGCCAACGTATAAAAGAGAAAATCAACGTTGGAACCGGCTTCTATACCTCTTTCTTCTCCGCCAGCCACCATTAAGAATATCGATCTATCCGATCCGAGGGGCTAGGGAGGTTGTCTAAAACGTACATATGAACGTAGCTAGCGTATTTCTAGAAGTACAGCTTCAATCCAAGAGGGCGGGTGGGTGTCAACCCTCACATCATCACGGCGGGGAAATGGGACCCTACATACACACGAAGGGACCACTGTATACTACCATAATGGTTCGATCTCCTTTACCAGCTGCTTCCTTCCATTAGGAAGCAGCTTGGGGGTTACTCCTTTACATGTGGGTACCGCAGGGGGCACTGTGGTTCGGACGTCAGCTGCCGGGGTATATGTGGTCTGTTCCTTAGAATGTAAAACATTATATTGTCAAGCCAACGAATCAGGTGTCAGCATCAGCACGAATTGGACCTTGTCTCGTACAGGGAAGAGCGTCTGCAAGAGGCCTTATCTCAACTACAGTCCCCGTTACAGTACCACCGTTAGGAGAATCTTCTCCCACATATTCTACATGAGATTCTCGTCAAAGCTCGAGGAATTGATACGGAATACCTGGAAGACAGCTTTTTATACCGATGACTGTTCTTTACTCAAGAACCAGAGCCAGCTCTGGATTGGGGTTGCATAAACAGTTGCCTATATTCCAAATTAGCGATCTAGCCCTGCATGATTTTTATTACTATCTAAAAAGCTACGGCAAATGCTAAGCTGCATATTATCTACCTACAGATATCAAAACAAAAAAAAAAGCTAATAATACCCCCCCTTCCCCGCATACTCAACCTTCGCCGGCTCCTCTTCCTCACCACTATCCTCCTCCACGCCCTCCGCACCAATCCCCACCGCGCCCTCCATCCTCAACGCCCTCATCTCCTCCGCCCCCAACTTCGGCGCCTCCCACACCCCTACACTATGAATCTCCCTGCCCGTCGGCATCCTCGCCGCCACCGCTGCCGTCCCAGGAACAACCTGAAACATGACCGAGTCATTCACCTTCCTCCAGCGCTTCTCCAACGCCGCACACACCATCTCCTCCTCCGCCCTCCCCGCATCCATCCCCCACACGCCCTTCCCGCCACCACTCCCCCCCGCGCCCCCCAACACCTCCCTCGCCATGACCACCCACGCAATCCCCTCCCCGCACCGCCCCGCCCCCTCCGCATCAATCCCCAAAAACCGACACGCCTTCGCCCTCGCCACCCTCTGCAGCGCATCCACATACGCCCTAAACTCCCCGGCCACCGTCTCCGCCCTCAACAGCCCCAGCGCCCTCCCCGCATGGTCGCTCGCCGCCACACACAGCCGCGCCAGCAGCAGCGCACGCACGCTCGTCGGCGGCGCCGGCGGACTATACAGCCACTCCCTCGACGCCGCCGCCGCCGCCGCCTCGCCCTTCTTCCGCTTCTCCTTCTTGCCCGAGTCGCCGCCGGTGGTCGTCAGCGATACATACGTCGGGTACGGATCCTGCTTGATCACGGCGACCAGCGTCGCGTCCGCCAGGTTGACACTACTCAGCGCGGACAGCGACGGCGGCGTCAGCTCCACGGGCCATGTCTCCGCCGAGGGCGGCTGCGGCCGTGTCAGCAGGTGCGCATACACCGATGCCGCGGTCAGCAGGTTGGCTGACGCGAGGTTGAAGAGCTGCTGTGGGTCTGCCGGCGCTGGCGTCGCGGCGGTGGGCGCAAGGACTTGGTGCAGCTGCGTTAGCGCGAGGAGGGTGTGCGCGTAGGCAAGTGTGCTGAGGGTCCAGAAGATCTCGTAGCTGAGGCCGTTGCGTGCGAGGCGGGGGGGCTCCTTTGCGAGGCGGTGGTGGGGCGTGAGGGTTGCGCGCCAGGAGGTTGTGAATTGCGGGGCGGCGGGGAGGAGGAAGGCGTTGTTGTCTTCGAGGGCCGTGGTGAGCGTGAGGAGGTGCGTGGTGTACTTTGTGAGGAGGGTGATGATGTGCGGGATGTTGGCGGCCTGGGAGGCGGGGGGGAGGCGCTTGTGCGCTTTGAGGGCGTTGCGGAGCGTGCCGCGGTGGGAGGAGGCGAGGAGGGGGAGCGAGGGGTAGACGGGGGAGGTGAAGAAGGTGGGGTAGGAGATGGGGGAGGTTGTGGGGAGCGTGAAGGGGAATGGCATCGTTCTGGAGGTGTGGACGTAGTTAGATGGCTGGTAGTATGTTAGATGCTCTGTAGAGCTGCAGAGCTGTAGACAATGGACTGTAGAGCTAGAGCTGTCGAAGCTGCCAATTCCTTCCTCGTGAGCTGTGGTGGTTGATGCTGACTATCGTGATACTCGACGTCGATGGTGCTGCACAGAGGAGGTCTCGAACGGTCACTCGGCCTCAGACTCCAACTCCTCGCCCGTGGCACAATGCAGGTTCTCCGATCATTGACCACTGCGGGGGCACACACGCACCCCTGCACCGCGTGACATAAGCGCCAAGCCCCACCACAACGTCCGTCTCCCAATCCACCTCCATCATCACCCGTCAGTCAGTCAGTCAGTCAGCCCAGCCATTGAATTCACGCAGACCACATCCACCGTCCCATCACCTTGTCTACCAAGTACGTACGTACCCCTCATTCAATCCCCCCCCCCTTCCACCAACACCTCCCAGCAAAACCAACAATACCCGAAAAAAGATGCCCGTCCCCGAGTCCCCCGCCTTCCTCGCAAAGAAGCCCACCGTGCCGCCGACCTTCGAGGGCGTCGACTACGACGACAACAAGGCGCTCAAGGCCGCGCAGGACGCCGTGCTGCGCGAGCAGTGGGTCAGGAGCATGATGGCGCGCATAGTCCGCGACGAGCTCGGCAAGTGCTACTACCGCGAGGGGGTCAACCATCTGCAGAACTGCGGCAAGTTGAGGGGTGAGTTCTCTTTTCCTGTGGCTGGGTGATGTGGTAGTGGGGGATAATGTGGATGATGGATGGCTGATGGGGCGTGTTGTGCGGGCGGGCAGAGAGATACCTTGAGCTGTTGAAGGAGGCAAAGGTCCAGGGGTACATTTTCCAGATGCAGAACGTGCTGCCCGGACAGTCGAAATAGAGGGGTTAGTCTTGATTGGGCGAGTGGGGGAGTGGGGGAGTTTTTTCTTTCTTCGTGGGGCATATGTATGCATGGTGGATTGATATTCGTGTATCATACGTAAGAGCCTGGGGGGGGGGGGGGGGCATAGAGATGCTTGCTCGCAATGTCCCCTGCTTCTCCTCCTTTGATTGGCATAAACTTGATTCCTTGTAGAGCCCTGTTGTCCTGATTGGACGCTGCATATCAGGCAAGGTAATGGATGGTCATTGGGTTATGAGCACTTTCTTTGTCTTGCTAAGAGTTGCCTTACTGCTAGCGAAAGCTTAACCCGACCTCCCTCTGCTGGCTGTTCTACAAGTCAAAACTGTGTCCATTGGGCGGTCAAAGACAACCCTCTGCTGGCTGTTCTACAAGTCAAAACTGTGTCCATTGGGCGGTCAAAAGGCAACCCTCTGCTCCTTGCTCTCGCCCTGCCCACCCAAACCAAGATTAGATGAGACAAGATCCGCGCCATCCTTGGCATCTATCACTCCCCACGACGGTCCGTCACTCCATGCAGCATCACTCACACCCGTCTGTCTGCCTCTGCCTCTGCCTCTGCCTCTGCCTCTCTCTGGCTCATCCAGCCGTGGGAGCTGGATTCATGCCGCATATTCGGCTGGTTTCACACAAAGCAATATCGCACCTGACATCATAGTCCACCCACGCCGCAAGGCACTGGCACCTCGCCGTCTCAGGCATATAGCCGAGGACCCTATCCCACTCCAGCACCGACACCGGAAACCCCGGGCCTTGTGGTTCGCAGATGGTGTGTGAGACGAAACATCTCTTGACTGATAAGCCCCACGCAATCCGGGTTTTCCTTGGTTTTGGCTCGGCATACACCCGCTAGTTATAGAGTAATTGCATGTAGTAGCTACATGTAGTATGTAGTTGGCATTGTGCGACTCAGTCAACGAGCTTGGACTGTAAGCAAGCACTTGGGCACCTGCTTCATATGATCATCTGTAAAGAAAAAAAAGTGTTATATAAACCTCACATCAGTCCACCTGTCTGTCTGTCTGTCTGTCTGTCTGTCTGTCGGTCTGTCTGTCTGTCAGTAAGCTGCATCAACCCCGCCATCACTCTACTCTCCCCCGCATTCTCCTTATAATTCCCCCCCCCCCCCCCAAGGATGTTTCTCCTCCCACGAACCATGCGATTGAGCTCCACCTGCAGAAGCAGGGGACTCAGGAACCTGTAAGTACATCCAAGCTGTCCTTAAACACATATCCCATACATGTAGTTATATACAAACACCCGCCAACAGCCATCCACAGCTACTACCTCTCCAAAGGCAGCTCCGGCATGCCCGCCATGAGCCCCAACAGCGCCAACAGCACGCCCATAAACCCCTGGACGCACCCCCCCGCCACGCACGACTTCCGCTCCGACACCCTCACCACCCCCACGCCCACCATGCTCGCCTCGCTCCCCACCTGCTCCCTCGGCGACGACGTCTACGGCGAGTCCACCACCACCACCCACCTCGAAGCCCGCCTCGCCGCGCTCTTCCGCAAGCCCGCCGCGCTCTTCGTCCTCTCCGGCACCATGGGCAACCAGCTCTGCCTGCGCGCCCACCTCTCGCACCCGCCGCACTCGGTCCTCTGCGACGTCCGCGCCCACGTCAACGTGTTTGAGGCCGGCGGCCTCGCCTCGCTCAGCCAGGCCATGGTGCAGCCCGTGCGGCCCAGCAACGGGCTGTGGCTGACGCTCGAGGACGTGCAGTCCGCCGCGGTCGTCAGCGACGACATCCACTACGCGCCCACGCGCGTCGTGTCGCTCGAGAACACCATCAACGGCGTCGTCATGCCGCTGGGCGAGATGCGGCGCATCGGGGCGTGGGCGAGAGAGAACGGGGTCGGGGTGCATCTTGACGGCGCGCGGCTGTGGAATGCGTGTGCGGTTGAGGGCGCGCCGGAGCTGTGGGAGTATGCGGCGGAGGTGGATAGTCTGTCGGTGTCGATGTCCAAGGGGATGGGCGCGCCGACGGGGTCGGTGGTTATGGGGAGTGGGGAGGTGGTGGCGAGGGCGAAGCATATGAGGAAGGCGATTGGTGGGGGGATAAGGCAGGCGGGGGTGCTGACGGCGATGGCGAATGTGGCGATTGATGAGGTGTGGTTTGGGGGTAAGTACAAGGTGGGGGATGCGTGGGCCAAGAGGTTGGAGGGGAAGTGGAAGGCGCTGGGGGGGAAGGTCAGCTTGCCGGTGGAGACCAATATGGTGTGGGCTGATCTGAAGGGGAGGGGCGTGACGGAGGAGGTGTGGAGTGCGTGTGCGGAGAAGGAGGGTGTGAAGGTGGGCTCAGGGAGGGTTGTCTGCCATTTCCGCAAGTGCCCCTTGTAAGCTTTTTAAGTATCATGAGCTGCGCTGATCGTTATTTCCAGAGAATACTGTTGAGGCAGTCGAGGCATTGGAGAGGGCCATGGAAGCGGCGTGTAAGATTGCGGATGAGAAGAAGAACGAAGAGTAGTAGAGTGAATGGAGACCCTACTAATTCCTTAATAAACGACTTTTCTTTGCTCTAAGCCAGACCTATGTACATGTAACTACTTTCATAATCATATTATACCATTCACGATTTGGTTGGATAAACATATGGCAGCTGAATTTGTTAGTCTTTTAAAGCATACGATCCCAGAGGGAAGATGGGTTTATTTGGTGAATGTCACACTCAGTACCAGGTGGTCCACTCCAGTCCATAGACCAGAGTGGACCACATTGACACCATCGGAGCATCGGTGAACGAACCATTCACTCAGATGGCGGAGAGCCCCTTCAATTCTACGTCATTCACAGGGAAAAGGCTTCAAGACAGCAGAATAACAAACGTAGCAACTCCATCTCCCATACTTTATCTCGCGCCAAATGACGCCACAACCACCAGAACTGGTCAGCTGACCGAGTGACCGCCCATGAAGCACACCACCCACATTGCAACCCAGCTTACTTCACACCCAACCAACCTGGCCGTTTTTCAAAACCCACAAGTTATAACTGATACCTATATACCTATATTAGCACGCATATATGGCATATCCAACCTACGCGCGCAACTCCCCAAAGGCCCTATTTTGCCAGTTGATTGGAGACCGGCTACACGCACGATCGATTGGCTCCTGGCGATTGTGGAAATTACAGGGTGTTCTCAGGCCCCCAATGCAATTGCAGTTCTCGCGGGTGCCTACTTATGAATAAAACAAACCAAGAGATATCCGCCATAAAGCGCTATGTAGCTATTAATGCGTTCGATGCATGGCAAGCTGCCCAGTAATAACCCCCCAAAAAAAGGGTGTGGGTTCGATCGCTATGGTGTTCCCGTTAATGCGCTAGTATTAATGCGGCATGAAGAAAAGGATATTGGTACGGTATTCTTTTTTTTTTTTGATTCCGCACATATTCTTCGCCCGGTTTTTCGCACATGTAGTAATTATACGTCTTGCTATCTTGGCACCCACGGACTAAGCACCGTGTAGAGTAGGTACATACCGTTGATTCTCGAGAAATCCAGTATCTCTGCTTTGGTAGGTGGTAAGTCCGGTCCTAAGAGAATTGGTAGCATCTCAGGTATCAAACCTGACGGGTAGTGCAGGTACACGCCTTTTCTCTGCACTGGACATACCATTTACTCTTCCTAGCGGAGATAGTTGATTTCTCAAGATTGTATGAATGCAAATGACACTTGTCCTTAGAAACTGCATTTTCCGGTCCTTAATCCTATACCCGAGTACTCCGGGTAGAGACAGTGCTAGGAGGAAGCAAACAGAACTTTGTAGAAACAGCACTCGAGATCGAAGCAAACAGTCACGAAAGAGCCACATAAATATCCTTCCCCGACTCTCCAATTAATTGCAAAATACCACCCTCTTCCGAATTGAGTCCCTTTCCCCATCCTCATCCTCATACGCACCCCCCCCCCCCCCCCCCGATCGATCCAGCTCTCTCGGATCATGATGTCTCATCCCAACCAATTAGTACTTTCAATACCCTCATATACATGTATGCATGATCAGTCCCGGCGTTCACCTCCAAAAACATATTCAAACCTATCAAACAATCCCGAATCCGACTCCAAACCCACCCATTAGGCCGAGCACATTTCAAGAACGCCTCGATATATCGATCCACAACCCACGATTCAAGTCCAAGCCAGACGAGCTCCCAAGATCATTCCTGCCCCATAGTGCCCAATATAAGTCAGAAAGAGGGGGGGGAAAAAAAGGAACGGGGTCTAACAATATCCTACCCGGTCGACCTCCCTCGCCCAGTTATGTTCGATATCTTGAACACTTTCTCTCTCGACTCCTGCTACCGCGGTCTTATGTCATATTCTACGAGACGAGTCAGCACCACGACTGGAAGGACCGGCTCGTATCCAGCAGATTCTAGCCCACGATCACACGATCGGGCTGGATCTCTCTCTATCCATCTATCTCGGATACTACAGCACGAAGAAGATGGCCTCAGATCGTTGCTTTACGGCTGCGGCATTTTATGAAGCCAGATAGGATCTTAAGAGAGGCATGAAGGATACCGTACCACCGTACACTACTATCATATTTTTTGTTCCATTTCTTTCAACTTAACTAGAGTACCAATGTATCCTTTGTTTTATCACTGTACTCACTTCATCCCTTGAGAGAACAACACAGTAGTATAGTTTTAAGCGCAACAGTGTATGCATGTATTAAGGTAGTTAGCTGTTCATTATTAGAGTATAGTTATAGTAGTTACTGTTTTTTCTGTCATCTCCATCGACAATTTAGTTTTCCCATTAAGCCCGCCCCCCCCCCCCCCCCAATATCTGTATGTAATAATAATAGTCCCGGCCCAGCCCATAAAAAAACAAAAGAGACGAAAGACGAAAAAAAAAACCAAAAGCTACTCAAAAAACGCCCGAAAGTCCAAACCCAAAAACAAAAGGAAGAAACAAAAAGAAAACCCAAAATGTCCAAAAGAGCGTCCGTTATTTCATACCGCTAGTAAAAGCCCAAAAACAAAAGAAAAGAGAAAAAAAACTTTTATACAAACCGACCACCAGGGCCCATCCAACAAAAGAAACACCATACCCCATGTCCATCATAACCTCATCTCATGACCACCACTCAGTTCGCATCCTGCCAATTCCTCCACTCACAGAAGCACCCCCTCGGATCCGTCTCCTCCTCCTGAACAGTATTCTTCAGCTCACCCCCCTCCTGCATGTAATAGACCGGCCCCTTCTCGCCCATCCTATCCTCAAACACGCTCACCGCATACGGGAAAAACGTATCCGTGCTCCTCGGAGTAGTCGGGTACCTCAGTCCCTGCTCTCCAATCAGATCCTTGAGCCCGCTCGTCCTCTGCTTCGTCCAGATGACAACCCTCAACCTCGTGTTCTCCCACGTGACCTGCTTCGCGCCGCTGATCCCCGCACCAACACCGCTCGGGTCGTCAGACGCCTTAGTGAAATCCGTGACCTCCGCGGGCGTTGCGGCGAGGACGTTGATGGTCTTCTTGTAGTGGACAAAGAAGCCGTAGTGCTCAGTATCGAGACCGCGGTCAAAGAGGCGGAGCTGTTGGTTGCGGAGGATGGCCGGGAGCATCTGCGCAGTTGCCGAGCTGGGCGCCTGGCGCTTCTCGTTATTTGAGGAATCTTCGGAGGAGGATGATGTTGAGGTTGAGGCAATGGTGATGGGCTTGCTCTCATCCGTCTGCATGGACAGATAGAACTGAGTTAGCTCCCCGACCTTGTTATCGGCCACGATGCCGTCCTCGCCGGCCACTGCGGCATAGTCAGTGTCGTTTGGCACGAGCGCTGGAACAGGCGCCCAGGTGCCCATCTTGCTGTTTGTGCTGTTTCGCAGCGCAATCGTGAAGATGAACTCTGGCAGCCCCGAGCTGTTACTCGGGAACTTTGAGTCAGTCGGGAGCGCACAGCTCCACAGCGTTCGTGGCTGCACACATGTCGTTGACGGCGTCTCTGCCGGGCCCTGCGGTGATATCACAACCACGCCCGTGGGCAGCACGGGGAAGGCCGTTACATCGAACGGCGGCACGGATGACTCTGCCGCCTTATTGGCAGTATTGGAGTTCTTCATTGTCCCAAAGAGGACGCCGAGGACAATGATCGAGATCAGGACCGTCGCACCGATTATGCCAATGATCCATTTGGTGTTTTTTGATATTTTGCGTCTCTTCTCGCCTCCGCCGAGGGACTCCTCAGCACCAAATATCCTCCACGACGCCTTCCGCTGGCTCTGGCTCTGGCCGCGGGCGAGGTCCCCGCTGAGGGCCAGTGGGTATACCTGTCTCTGCCCACTGAAGCGTCTTGGCACATTAGCATTCGAGACGAATCGCTGCGGGTGCTGTCCGCGGGAGTGGGCGGCCGCGGGGATAGAGAGGTCCGTCGGGAGCTGGTGGGCGGCGATACTAGCTCTGCTTGCGCGGACACCGCCAATTGGCATGGAGCGGCGGTTGTAACGCTCATATGGCGGTGGTGCGGGCTCATTCGCTACAATATCTGTGTGTGCCTCTCTGTGCACGCCTCCCGGGAGTGCGTTGGACTGCACTATTGCCGGTGCGGCCTGTTGGGGTATTATTAGCGGTGGTGGCGGCGACGCACGCGGTGGGATTGGAGGCACTAGGCTAGCGGTTGAGGCGTTTGCCGGGTGTGCCTCGGCGCCCGCGGGTGAGGCCGGGGTGAAGTTGAAGTTGAAGGCGGTGAAGCCGGAGAGGCGGTATGGCTGGTTCTGGCCGACGGGGGAGGGCGTCAGCGGGGAGACGCTATCGGTATAGTCGCTGTCGCTGTTGTTTGGAGACTCTGGAGAGAGATGCGGTGAAAGGTGGAGGGGAGATGTCCGGGGGTCCAGGGTAAGGAATGGGGGTGACATTGTTTAAAGTGGTTGTTTTTGAGGACTTTTCTAATTAGTGTATCTAGTATTTTTTTTATCGAAATAACTCCCAAAGTATAGAACTGAAGAGATTTCTTCTGAAAAAAAAAAAAAAAAATAGAGAACAGAGAAAAGACAACCAGGTCTATCTAATAATAAAAAGTAAAAGCGCAAAGACCTAATAGAAGTGATAATATGGTCTACCTGAGACTTGAAAACAGCTGAAAACCCCCCAAAAAAAAGAAAAAGAAAAGAAACGAATAACCAGTCGTTGCTGTCGTCAACGACAAAGGGAGGAGGGGGAGGAGGGGAGGGAGAGGGAGAGATATCGAAATAAGACCATAAAAGTGTAAGGCAAAAACAAAACCACCACCTCGACAGAGGGCCAGAGGGCGTATCTTAATAGCAGTTGCACTCTCCCCGCCTCCTCAACACCTTGCCACAGCAAGGATGGTTTCTCAGGCGTCTAAGGGATTGGATACGTTACAGTTCCGCATGCGTCCGCTGATTGCCATAGGTCGCACTCACTGAGACTTTGCTTTCTCTCAGTCTTAGACATTTCGTTCCCTCCGACTTTGATGGCGGTTGTGTAACCCAGGTCGTTCGCCATAGCTGCTTGCTTGCATGCTGCGCGCTGTAACTACTCGTATTTTCCTGACGTTTGTAAAAGGAACCGCTATTGCATACCATACTAAATTGTGGACTTGGCGCGTATTTGTATGGTATGCAATAGTGGTTCCTTTTACAAACGTCAGGAAGATACGAGTACAAGAGTCGACTTGCACCCCCCGTCCCCTCCCATATCGGCTAGGTCGCCCCCTGCAGCGACAACTCGAACCGGGGGGAGAGGGGTGCACTCATGTTTAAGCGCTGGACAGCGTTTCAGGGGCAAGGGGATGATTGGCCAGCATCCAACGTTCTGTATGTAGCAGTGTTCCGAATGACTGATTCTGCTGCTGCTGCTGCTGCTTCTCTGGGATGATGTATTAAGGCACCGAAATAAACCAATGCGAGCGGATATTGGGTCTGAAATGGCACAACCTATCCTGGGAGGGAGGGGAGGTTGATGATGTGTGTGAGAGTAGTTAGAGCAGAGAGGGAAAAAGAGAGACAAGAGACTGACCCAGACAGAGGTAGCTGCTCTATTTCAGCCGCCAGTCAGTCGATTTTAGGTTTTTTAAGCTCGCAGCATGTGTAACAGGACAGGCATCTCACGGACCAGCCTTTCTTTTTAGCAACACACCCAAACCAGACACAACCACAGACATACACCACAGACATCACACAGCACTCTGCACACACACCACAGGCTGGCCAAGAGCTCGCCTATGTAGGTACGCAGGACGAGAGAAACTGTCATCCGGCCTGTTAATTACACAATCATGTGTTTCAGACCCACCATGAAGAAAAATCTTCTCCTCGAGAGCATGTATATACGGTATGGATGCGGAACCTTCGGGACTCCTCGATCAGGGAAGTCTACTCTACGGAATTGACAACAAGACAATATCTCAAAAACACCACTCACCGCTACATACTGTAGCCAGCCAGTCAGCCTCCGAAAAATCCCTACTATAGAATACTCACAGAGCGCGTAATTCCTGTAGCTTTCCTACCTACATTCACATACATCCAAGCCGCCTACTAAACCAACTACATGTACATCATGTAAGTTCTCACGCTACAAATAGTGCCTCTAGATCTTTGCTGCCTGCCCGCCTACCTACCTCCCCTCCAGACCCACGGCAATGCAAAAAAAAAAAAGCCGTTAAAAGGTCTCAAATCCACATTCCGCACCTCACTGCACCGCAGGCGTGCGTCCAAAGGCATTTCTACTCTTCCATGAATACCACTACCGGCGCTGCACCTCTGCGGCTAAGCAGAACAAATCCACATCAAGCGCCTGTCTCATTTCCAAAATCAGAATCTTTCCTCTACTAAATTTCCCATTTTTCCCCATTAAGAACAAGATCAAGGCCTAACTACATATAGCTGACGTGAGCTCTCTCTCCAACTACATACCCAGCCGACGATCCCCGTGCTCTGGTCCAAGATTTGTCTTTCGAGTGATCCATGGCTAAATAGCCCCCCCCCCCCCCAAAAAAAAAACACCACACCCCAGGGCGCGTACTACGCCGCACCTCTACACCCACCTATCTAGCTAGAACCACTCCCCATATAGTACAAGCATCACCCTACTACGTACCCATACCCCATATCCCTCCAAGCGCGAACCCAAACCGCCGCAGAGGCAGTGCGAGTGACAACGTATGACGCACGCTGATTGGCCACAGCCGATTGGGTGCCAATGCCAAGCGTGGTTGGTTTCATCTATCTGCAGCGCTCAAACAGGGCTGTCTACATGCTCTACCTACTCACTCTATGGTGGGTGGAGGTGGTGTAGGTAGGGCAGGGCAGGGCATGGCATACGCGTGGTGTATATGTGAAACTCTGATCTGGAGTAGAGGTGTTGATGTGTATGTGCGATGAAACGGTTGTACTTGTGGGTGCGGTGCGTGTGGTGGCCGGCCGTTACTTGACTTGCTTGCTTTGTTGCTTCACGTCGACGTCTTGCTTTTTTGGCTGGCAGTATTTGTCACTGAACATGCTAGCTAGGTACAGCCACTCTGCAAAAGTGTTCGTGATTCCGATTTCCGAGTGAGACATTTCTCTATATGTAACTCTGGCGGACCATTAAAAAAGCCCCAAGAGAAAACCTTCCCAGTCACCAATGGAGCCCGGAATCAATGAAGAATAAGATTAATGACCTATCTTCTTTTATATATAGTCAGTCTGGTACATATGCTACTGGGCATGTTCTAGAAGGTTTACTCTGCAGTCAACTCTAGATCGATATAAGGATACGGTCGGGACAGGAAATCAGTATCCTTGTAAGGCGAGTATCATTACAAGTAAGGAGGGATAGGTAAAACAGTATTTCGGGACCGCCAATTGCGTTCATTATAACAAGAGTATAACTATGCAGTATCACTATAAAGAGAGTCTACTTAGTACTGTAGTTTAACATATCTTAGCTTTTAACTGCATTTCGCTGCATGTACTTCTAGAAATCTTCAATCTTGATAGGAACACAATAAACGTTCACAGCCCAATGAAAACACAATAAACATTGACAGGCTGTAGACTACATTCTACTAAATGGAGCTCTTTATTTTTTACAACAAAACCACAAAACCACAAAGCCCCCCGCCCCCGCCCCCCAAACACACAAGCAGCAAATCCCTTACCACTTCCCCCCCTTCTTCTTCTTCTTCTTGTTCGCCCCCCCACCCGGCCCCCCACCGGCCTTCTTCAACAACTCCCCACCCAGCACCTCCGAGCTCTCACCCGCCGCCGTCGGCCCACCCTGCGTCGCCCCAGCCGCCTTCTTCTTATCCTTCCTGCCCTTCGGCCTATACGTACTCCTATCCCTCTCCGGCAGCCACCTCTCCGGATCCGCCGCCTTTCCCGGCTCTACATCCTTCGGCAGTCTCGTCTTCTTCTTCTTGACCTTCTTCGGCTTTACCTTCGGGCCCGCGTCCTCCTCCGCGGAGCGCTTCCTGCTCTGCTGCGCGACGCCGAGCGACTCAAGGGCCGCCGCATCAATGTCGGAGATGAGTGTCTGCACGGGCGTCAGCTTGGAGATGTGGGCGGGTGTGATCTGCGAGGGGTCGATGGTGGCGTATGAGGCGACCAGACCGGCGGTCGCGAACTTGTTCGTGGGATCGGCGGAGAGGAGGGAGGTGAAGAGTTCGCCGGCTGCGCGGAGGTCGGCGGAGTCGTCCGAGTCGAGCTGCGCTTTGCCGGAGGCTTGGAGGATTGTGGGGTTCTGCGGTTTGTTAGAATGATATATTCCATGGTTAGGGGATGTACTTACGGGGGTATCTGTGTTCTTCCAGAAGTCGCTGGCTTGTGATAGTAGGTCCTTCACATCCTTCTTTCGGGCCTGTGATTGGTACAGTGCTACCAAGAGCCCGACCAATCCAGGCTGGTACCGCTGTTCTGGTCCCAGCGCGGAAAGAAGCTTATCCATTGTCTGGATTGCACCAGTGATATTTTTGGATCTTATTCTGAGCTGGACCAGTGTCAAGGCCAGCCCTATATCTTTTGGATTTGCCGTCCACAAAGCCTCGACTTTGTTCTCTGCCGTTTTGCCCTTGACATTCCCGGCGTGTGCAGCTGCACTGATCACGCCATTTGCTGGATCGTTGGGGTAGGTCTGTGTGATTTTTGCAGCCTTCGCCTTGACGGAGGAGTGCTTGCCGACTTGGAAGTCGATCACGGCGTCGTTTCGCTCAATCGCGCGGGCTTGGAAGAGGAATGGGCGGGCGGTCGTGGTCTTTGCTGATGCGGTGGCAGTCTCTGCAGCGATGATGGATTTGTGGGGGTTGTAGTCGGGCAGACGGGAGGTTGCGGCGATCTCGTTGTAAGTTGCGATGAGCTTTAGGGCTGTGTCTGTAAGGCTATTGGAGGAGCTTAGCTTTGTGGGGCACCGGTATTATGTGTAAAAACTCACGTAGAAACTCCAAGCTCTTGGGAGCGGGCCATTGCGTCCTCGATTCGTCCAAGGTTGATGAGAGCGCATACTTCTTGGGCAATGATTGGGGTCAATTCCAGTTTCTTTTCCTCGTCCGACAAGTCTTCAAGAGCATTGCAAAGATCTATGATTACCCTAGTCAATACAATTCTCAATTGCGTCATACTTGAATACAACATACCCTTTGATCTTTTCAGCAATACCAAAGCTTGCCCATACTCTCCCCTCGCAAGACTGATGCACGCAGAATTGAACGCCGTCTCAAATGCATCCAAAGCGCCTCTATTAGGCTTCGTACTCTTGACCAAATGGCCCTGTCCCGCCCAAATAATCTGCGCATCCGCCGCAGTAGTATTCACACTCAGGTCATAATCCTCATTATCGACCTGCGTCATCCCATCCGCCAGCTCCTTGTATATCTTCGCCGCATGCACAAACCTCTCCGATCTATACGCCTACGCACCCAGTCAGCTCACCCACACCTTCCCCGCACCCAATGTGGGGAGGAAGAGACTAACAGCTTGAGCCTCAACATGTCTTAGCCCTCTCTTATTCCTATCCCCGCCGTCTGCAGCCTTCCTCGCGGCCTCCTCGGCCTCCTGCAGCCGACCAAGCTTATACAGACAATACGCCCTCTCGAGGGTAGCCGTCTCCGCCACCGCCTGGCCGTCCGCAGACTCAATGACCTTTATCGCATCGTCGTAGCGGTCGAGGCTGAGCAGGGCGACGATCTTCGTGTGCAGTGCGCGAGGATGGGCCTTGCTGGTGCTGAGCAGGCCGTCACAGTGGCGGAGGATCTCCTCGTGGTCTGCCTCGTCGTCGGTTAGGGTGAGGTTCTTGAGGAGGGATTCGAGCGATGCGGGGGTATAGTGGGCCATTGTGGTGTTGGGGGAGCGTGGTGGGGTAGGGTGGCCGGGCCTGGGGACGCGGGGATGGGACACGGTGGGCGTTGGTGGAGGGGTGTGTGTGTGTGGAGTGGTGGAGGTGTGCGGTGGCTTGGGTGGAGCTTGCGCCACAGCTCCGCGTGCGGTGCTTGTCACTCGGACTGTGGGGATTTGGGAATTGAGGTTTTCCCCTGGAGACGTAGCGTAACTATATGAATTATACTATGTTTTTGAGTATTTTAAAATATGTGTGCCCGCTCTTAGCCAGGAAGAGTAATAGATTAATTAATAGATGTCCAAATAAGTTATCACTTATTGCAACAAGCTTTCTCGATATTTGGTACGGCATATATGTTGCCACCAGTCGCGATAACTCGCGTTCTCGAGTCTCCCAAACGAGTCGAATATACTACAAACAATTCCTCTGGAATATTCAGACCAACATGAAGAATCTCCAGGTTACTTTCTTTTTAAGTATTCGAAATGACTTTCCTGCATGAGGACAGCCTTGCCAACATCTTATTATTCTGGACGGTTTAGTGAAAAATAAGGTCCAGGACTCGGTAAAATCTTCCAGCTGCAGGGTCGGCAGAGGATGCCTCCATGACTGACGTAGAGTACTCGCCGTGACCGGCACCCATACATGCAGTTATCTGGGACCTTACATACCCGCGATGAGGGTTTATGGCTTTCCAGCCAAACTATGTGTTTTTCAGACAGCTCAGAAATCTCATCGTCAGTGCCATTGATCACGACATATATATAACCCAATCACCACATCTCACCAGTCGCGACGAGTGATAAGTCATGCAGGACCACTCCGATTCGGACTATCCACCCACAAAGAGACGCAAACTAGAAGACTCCGATACTGCAGACACAGATACCACAGAGCCCACTGCTAGCACAGCTACCAATAGCAGCACAGCCACCGACAGCACAAGCACAGAAGCCACCGAACCCCCCACTGCACAATCCATCACTCGCACCCACCTCCTGCACCAAATCGAGTCCATCTTCCACTCCCTCACCACGACCCTCTCCTCTCCCACCGGCCCACATCCACTCACCCTCCTCCTCGCCCCCCGGCCCCGCCATCCCACCACCAGCATCACCCCCACCACCACCACCGCAATCTCCTTCCCCACCTCCGCCCACCGCTTCACCTCCATCCTCAAGATCCTCACCATCATCCACACCACCCTCACCACGCACCAGCCCCCCACCACAAAACGCGACATCTTCTACCAGCACCCCACCCTCTTCCGCACCCAGGCCGCCGTCGACCGCATCATCGACGACCTGACCGCCACGTTCCGCGTCCCCCGCCACGCGCTCGGCATCGTCGCCAGCGCCAAGGGCCTCGCCCACGGCGACTTCACCGCGAACGGCCGCACCTACAGTGCACCCGGCGGGGGCATCATCGTGCCGGGCGAGACGGGCGAGGTTGTCGTTGGCAGGGGCGTGGAGTATGTGCTGATTGTCGAGAAGGATGCAGTGTTCCGTACGCTTTGTAGCGGGGACGCATTGGGAGGGAAGGGGATTATAGTGACGGGGAAGGGGTATCCGGATGTTGCGACGCGGGAGCTAGTGAAGGAGTTGTCGGGGGCGTTGCCGGTGTTTGCGGTGGTGGATATGGACCCGTATGGGATTGAGATCATGGCCACGTATAAGTTTGGTAGTATTGCGCTGGCGCATGAGAGCCATAGGTTGGCGGTGGAGAGGGTTGAGTGGTTGGGGGTTAAGACTGGTGACCTTGAGGAGGTTATTAGGAGTGCTGAGGGGGAGGTGGAGGGGGTTATGGTGCTGACGGAGAGGGATAGGAGGAAGGCGGTGAAGATGCTGGGGAGGGAGTGGATGGAGAGGGTGCCGGAGTGGAGGTGAGTTCCATCCTTTGCTTATAGGAGCTATGGGTGGTTTTGGTTGACGGCGTGCGGTGTAGGAGTGAGATTCAGAAAATGTTGGTGCTGAATGTCAAAGTGGAGATTGAAATCCTGAGTAATAGCATACTGAAAGAGTGGATCAACAAGAGGATCTCTGAAATGATGAATTGCTAATGAAGGAGACAAATCTTTGTTAACTTGCTTTTAATTAATAGTTGCATTAGAAAACGCGTATATGCATGTAAGTATATACAATCTGACCCAAATTTGCATTCTAACCCCTCTGCACCAGGCCTGTGAGCGTGGTGAAAAGATAGGAAATTAGTACGGACTCATAGAGACTAGAATCCAGACCCAGGCAGGAGATATAATTTGTGCCCGAAGACATATGGGCATAGTTGCTCTAACAGAACATATCTTATAAATCCTAGAAGTTCGGGCAGAAAGAGTCTATTATATTGTCGACACGGCGTGAGGTATGTTTCGCTCTACCGATCATCTCCTTTCAACAGGACGTTGCGCATATATCAGTAGACTGTGGGCCGGAGAGATATCCAAGCCATCTTTATATACCTCAGTATTGCCTTTACTAGCTACTGGGTGTTTCTTTAGGGCAGATATTCAAAGCTCAAGTGCGCCGTCGCTCATGAAGATTGCGATCTCCTATAATTACTTCATAAGAAAGAGCCATATAATTGACAGTGTAAGAATACGATATTCAGTGTAGTAATACGATATTATATGATGATGCCGTATCCGTGGATTAAACCTAATACTCATGGGTCTTATTATGAATACCCCCTTTTTGTATTAGCAGTCGTTAGCCAGCTTCTAACTTTCCAAAAGCTTGGCTATATATCTGTAAATTGCTGTCAATTTATCCTGCTGGGCTACAATAAACCGGCACAACCCCCGTCATTGCCAATAATAATAATAGCGTAAATTATTTCTGATTATATGAAATTATAATTATAGCATAAGATTGACTTCTCGTGACCGAGTGAGCGTTCGTGAGTGAGTGGTATGGTATGCCAAATCCGATGGGTCGTTAACCTTAACCACTTGGACTCCCGTATTCCTTTTTTTCTTTCTTTTTTTTTACTTTTTTGCACGTCATTACCACCGTCCGGTACAAACTGCCGGTAATCACTGAATCCGCTTATCCACAATTTGCAAATTCCCAAAAGTAAAGTCTATTTGCCGATTGCCACGGAACGAAAGCTCCAGTACCCTCCTTTTTTCTGTTAGCTAGCTGGGAGCCCGCACTTGATGCCGAAAACCGCTACAGAAGGAAGGCGGGGTTGAATACGAAGGGGAAGGGAAGGAAGGAAAGGAATCTTCTATCGAGAAATTCCCTATCTTCCCTTCCCTCGCTCGCTTAGCAGCATCTGCCGAGGCCAATGTAATCAAGCTGCAGCCAAACCGCGACCTCCGGATCCCACTCTACCGATACATCTTTGGGTATAAATAGTTCCCATGGGGCATCTTAAGCTTTTTCCGAGGCCCTTTGAACCCCCCGACATTTGACAGCGGTGGTCGGGTTGTAGCCCGTGGGAATGGGATGGGATGGTTTAGAAAGGGTCTCGTATTTGGTTTTGGGAAACCTGGAAATTGGGCGAGCTTCTAATAATAGCGGTGCCACACTAAGGTCAGTAGAGTGGAGTGGAGTGGAGTGGAGTAAGCGATGGAAGGAGAGGAAGCAGAGGAAGAAGGATGGGCTGAAAAAACGTGGCGGCGCTGGGGTCAAACTGAGGCTGAAAGGTAGATAGCTAGGGTTAGGTCTTTCAGCTCCTTCTCCTCCTCCCCCAAGTTTTCCAGGAGCCGCTGCAAGATCAGATCTCATCAAAAAAAAGAAGGCAAAAAAGGAGGGAGGGAAAGCGAAGAAGGGTAAGGGGGGGGGGGGGGGGGGGGGTTGTTCCGGGAACTGGCTAGCCGCATGCAAACAAGCGTTGTTTGCGAAACGGCCCTGTCAGGTCCCTCCCTGGGCCCTGGAGAAGGTGTGAAACGGGAATTTACTTTGATTGATTGAAAGGGCTCAAAGGGGGTGCAAACCAGAGTGGGAGTGAGAGTGAAAAGTTGGATACCTAGATCTAGCCAATGCATCGGGATATGTTCTTACCTTGGGTTGTTTATTGGAGTCCTTCCTTAGCAATTGCATTCTATTGGGGTTAGTTAATAGGTTGGGTGATCTGGGAGTGCGTACGTACTACTCGAGGACAGATAGACGATTTTCGATTCCGTCCTTCCAAAGTGTAGTTTCTCACTGCGGTTATGTGCCTGGAAAAGCACTCGTTACGTAGATCTCGCACTCGATAAGGGCAGCTTGAGCCCGTAATCCTCATTTCGGTTTCCTAGGTCTATTCCCATTCCCAGTGCAGGAAGGAACAACGGAGGCCAAGAGATCAAAGAAGAAATATCTGATGTCTTCCCTCCCACCCTCATGGTCCAAGGGAGTGAGATTATTTGCACTTGGTTCTTTTCTTACATAACCTAACTAGTTGCCTCCTCTGTCAGTGCTCGTACTTACTCCTCCCCTTCGAATCTTAATTGTACTGTTTTCCCCTCTTCTCCTGCTTTGTCTTTGCTTTGCTTCGTCGAGGAGGATCATCATCATCATCACATTCCATCACATTCGTTTCTTCTGTTCATTACCGTTATTATCTACTCTACTTGTGAACTACATACTCTGCGTACTACATAATACCTATTGCGATCAAGCATTCAAGCAAGTACCCGTCATTTGGTAGCACTGCATACCAACAGCCAGGAGAGTCGAGTCGATATCAAGCTCCTCCTTACACCGGCAGAAACGTCAGTATCAGCGGTGAAGCCATTCTACATTACATTCCGGTCTCGCCCCCTTCTATCAAAAGTTTAACAACCTCACCCTTTCTTGGCTCCATATCTTTTCCCCCCCCCCTCGAAAGGAAAAAAAAAAATTCTTGGTTGTTGCCAGCTAGCATAGTTCGTAGTGCTAGAGAAGTTTCTCAAACAAAGCCTACATACATACAATAGCACCTACCCCCCAGTCCACCCCCCCAACCACCCACCGTGGCACCCACCAACAGACCACGTCGGCGCTCCACCGTCGGAAGCAGCACCGGCCCTCCAAACCTCGAAAGTATCGGCGTCAACTCTTCATCATCAGTCTCAATAAACAATTCCTTATCCACGCATCACTCCACACTCCCGCCAATTCCTCATACACCCCTTATGGGGGACTCCTCTGAAAGAGGCGGTGGAAGCTACTTCCCCGGCTCCCGGTCACCAACGCCGGGAATGTCAACGTCGAGAGCACACTCGCCTTCCCCGCGTGGGAATTCGCCTTCGTGGGGCAACAGCAACGGTAACAACAATAGCAGAATAAACGGCGGGGGTATAGGGGTTAATGGGGCGGCGAATGGGTATCCTTCGTTCGGCGCACGCAAGTTCCTGGGGAAGCATCTGCGGAAACTGTCGACATCGCTGCCTACGTACTCGCCAGTCTCGCCGGCCTTCTCGGCAACGCCTTCTACGCCTCACCGGTATTCGTCTGGCGCTTTTGGACGGGCGCGGGGATTGTTTCTGCGACGGTCGAGAGGCACGACTGTGATACTGCTGCTTGTGGCGGTAGTATTGTTCGTGTTTACGTATGTGCACCACAACCCAGTTAGCAGCAAAATCCGCAATGTTTCAGGAGGCAGTAAGGTTGTTATCATTTTAGCAGCCAATCAGGGCGGTGGAGTGATGACGTGGAAGGGCGCAAAGGAGTGGGCGGTAGAGAGGGACTCCATTGCGAACAAGAAGGCGTATGCGGAGCGCTGGGGATACCACTTGGAGATCAAGGACATGAGCACAAAAAAGAGGTATGCGCATGAATGGAGAGAGAGTTGGGAGAAGGTCGATGTCATCAAGCAGACGATGAGGCAGTATCCTAAGGCTGAGTGGTGAGTTCCCCCCCGCCCTTTTCCCGCCTATTCAACCGCTCAGAAGAATGTATTTTAATATTCCTGTAATGAATAGGTTCTGGTGGATGGATCTCCACACGTTCATCATGGAGCCCTCAATCTCACTACACTCGCATATCTTCAAGCACATGCAGAACGTCACCTACCGGGATATCAATGTCTACAACCCTCTCAAGATCACTCACCCACCGTCCAAGGAAGAATTCTTCTACCTCGATGAGGCCGCCCTCAGTCCGGTTGGCGACGACAAAGCTGAGAGCATCAATCTCATTGTCCCACAGGACTGTGGTGGCTTCAACCTAGGTAGCTTTCTCATCAAACGAAGCGAGTGGAGTGAGCGCCTACTCGATATATGGTGGGACCCGGTTGGCTATGAGCAGAAGCACATGGAGTGGGAACACAAAGAACAAGACGCTCTGGTATGCCGCCCCCATGGTCATTAACTGACTAATAGATATGGCGACAGAGATGCTAACATTTCCGGCAGGAGTACTTGTACACCAATCAGCCCTGGATCCGTACTGGAACAGCCTTCATCCCGCAGCGAATGATCAACTCTTTCCCTCCAGGTGCATGCGCAGACACCCCCAATGACCCGCGCATTTTCTACGACGAGAAAGACCGCGACTTTGTCGTCAACATGGCAGGATGCGAGTGGGGGCGGGACTGCTGGGGCGAGATGACGCACTACAGGCAGCTCAGCGAGAAGCTGAATAGCGGCTGGTGGAGGAAAAGCTTCGGCTAGGAGCGGGGCTAGTTTGTGCGCAAAAGATTGATACCAATTGTAATTTTCGTTTTTTCTTTTTTCTTTTTTGACTTAGTAATGTTGAACGCATCGGAGTAAAATAGAATGGAGGAGGAGAGGCCGGCCGGTTGGTGGGGGAGTGGAAAAATAGGGGAGCGGCGTGATTTTGCCAGTGGTGCGCGGGGACCTTCTTGAATATTTTTTTTTTCTTTCTATGATGGGTGTGTCTGTGTGGTTGTGGAATAGATGGGGACTGGAGTGAAGGGTTCCTTGCTTTGCACTGTTTTGTATTGTTTGAGGAAATGAAAGTTATGAATTTTTCCTTGAGCATGAGCTATGTAGTTAGAGCCAGCTAGAGCTATCTGGGTTGGCCGTAGCGATGTGTATTTATCGACCATTCTGAGTCTTGTTGATGGTTAAGACAGCTATGGTATGGTGCAGGCCTCGCATTTGGTGCCAGCAGATGGCAAAGTTGAATGGGAGATCAAATTTATTATTGTCCACTAGAAGCCCCCACAGCTATGGAAGGTCGGCCTAGTTCGTGGAAAGATATAAGGCACAAACCAACCAAGAACCTTCTACTACAGTTCCTTGGACCAAGTCTCAAAGCGTCTATGGAATGGATCATCAACTATCACTCGTCGATCTTTCACGACCACATGTCGAACCCGGCCCTCGAGCCTACGAGGCAGGACATATGTTATTTTCATTATGCATCATGGGGTACCCAGTGTGTCGAGAGTTATATGGGTATATAATATAGGCTTATTTATCGTATGGTTAGCCACTAAGTTGTATGCATGAATACATGTATTCCTGTACTGCCTGCAAACAATGGCACGCGTTTGCGTCGGGGGAGCCGGGTGGGATCATTGTTGGTTGTTAATGTAGCTTTATTGTAGTCTAGCTTGGTTTATGAGATGAGTCATGATCAACGATATGTTGTGGTAGTGAAGGTGGTTATCACACCAATTTGTAGTGCGATTGCTGTAAGAGAAGCGGTTCCTTTTTGAGCTTTTTTTTTCCTGCATGCTCTTTGTCCTACGAATTCTTGTGCAACTAATATATCGATATGCTGTAGGCGCAGGTTTATGTGTTCTTGGGCCATGATGATCTTAACAGGAAAGCCACTATGGTATATATATTTGGCACCGGAAACGTGGCCTCTGCCAGTGATACTGATCGATGCAAGCAGAGGGGCAGCCCCACCTTTAAAACCACCATACATATATATCTCAGAGGTGATGCATATATCTAAATACTTATGAGTGCTTTATTCTTATTGCTTAGCGGTGTTCCTCTTGGAGCTAAATCACGTTTCCAATAATCATTCCTTTGAGATATTAGAAAGCTTCGTGCAGCATATTACACGGTCCATGTACTCCGCCCCCGTACCGGATAAAACACATGTAGACTGAACTGGTCCAAGTCTTTTTCCAGCCCGGAACCGTCCATAACCACGCCTTGCAGCCGGTGAAGAATAAATATGACGTACTTATGCAGGCGTCAAAACGAGATATAATTTTTACAAAAGACGCGAGTGACAATCTGTGATCAACCACGACGCCAAGCTCCGCATCACAAACCCACATCTTGGCATGATTGGAGGTCCCATAGAATATTCATCCCATAGGTTGCTTGGCTTCGCAGTGCCGTTGTGTTTCTAACTTGCGCCTGCATAAAAACAATCCCTGCATCATGCAGAGTATGTAGCCAAGCCAAGAAATCAATTTTTATCTTCGTGGTACTCATTTTTTCAGCAACCATCACAGCACCGTTGGTGAAGGGGTATCATAGTTGCCTTCCATGAGAATAGATAGCAACTGGGAAGGGTTCGAGTCCCTTACGGCGCATTGTTTTTTTCTTTTTATTTTAACTTTTGAATAAGGTAAACACTTTCATGATAATTCTCACGATCTTATTCCTTTTCGCCTTTCCTATCATCTGGCTGACTGACTGACTGACCTGACAAATCCCATAAAAACCCAACCCGTTCATTTCATTTCACTCGAGCTCATTCCATCTCATCCCTCACGCATTTTTTTACCCCATCCCGGCCCAATACAGAAAAAGCCGACCAACAACAAGAAGTAGAGGAAGATAAGATACATACAACGGAAAATAAAAAGAAACGAAAATAAAGGGAAACAAAATGGGTATCCAGAACCAAAAAATCCAATCACCCTTTCCTTTTTTTCCTCCGTTCTTTGGACTCGAGATACCCTCCACCACCACCACCGCCTCCACCCTCACTATTGTACCGTATCCCTATCTCCCCACCCCCGGCAGCCATAACAATAGATTTAGTCAATCTAGAGTACAGAGAAAGAAGAAAAACTCCAGAACGAGATACCCCCGCTGTGCATATGTATAACGAAGGAGAAGAGAAACCCAATAAGAATAGTTGTGAAAAGAAAATCTGAAAAGCGGGGCAAGCAGAAAGAAGAAGAGATGATAGTATCAGTACATGTAGTAGTACATACCGGAAAATATAAGCTGCTACCTTTCACCGCATCGTTTTGTTAATATAAGGGACAAAAAAGAAGACCAGAAAAGAGTAAAATGGAGGTATCGTAACAACAGAGAATAATAATATAAACCTCGCAAAACGCAAAGGAAAAAAGAAAATCAAACCCTCCCTTGCCCCCCTAAACATCATCCCCAGCCTATGCATACTATTCATAACAGCGGGCCATAGCCGCTACCTACTCCTACCCTATTTCACTCGACATCCTCGCTAGATCGCTCACTAGACCCCTCGCTGGACCGCTCGCTAGACCGCTGAAGGCACGCCTCAAATGAGCTCTCAATCGGCATAGTAGTGGCCATGCTGGTAGCCATATGATTCCCGCGTTCCGCATTTACCGCCGCCTTCTCTCTGACGCCCGTGTCTTCGTCGCTTATCTCTGGCTCATACCTCGTGTGGCTGCCGATTGTGAACTCGCACCGAAAGGCGAGGAAATCATCTTTACTACTCGAATCCCAGTAGAGGTGGATTACATCCCCATTATATACCCTTGCGATACCGTTCGTCCTCTTCTTCCTACCGTTGAGGCGGCATCCGTTAGTTCCCCAGACCTTGATCCAAGCCTTCATATGTGTCTGCGGCCGCCAGTTGTTATCATCGGGTGGTTGGCAGGACACGCCTGGTATGGCCAGCATCAGTCCGAGGTGTGTCTTGGAGATCCGCGGGTCTGGGTGGGTGTAGGTGCAGCTCGAGGAGCGGCCGATGCGGATCGTCTGTCGGTTCAGGTATATGGTTTTATAGGGGACGGATCCTTCGATGGGCACAAGTTTTCCCCACGACATTTTAGGCTTGATAAAGTTCTTTGGCTCCAGCTGGACATTCCATGGCTGGGACAGCGGGAGATTGGGCTGGGATAACGGGAGGTTTGGCTGGGAGAATGGGTGATTTAGCTGTGAGAATGGAGGGTTTGGCTGAGATAGCGGGTAATCTCGTTGTGATAGCGGAAGGTTACATGGCTGGGATAGTGGAAGGTGGTTTTCATTATTAGCTGTGTTCTGAGATGATGGTGGTGCCTGAGAACTCTCAGGAGCCCTCAATAACGAATATGGTGTAGAATAGACTACGGCTGGGTCATCGAAGGACGAGAAGTTGGAAGCCTCTGCGGCGGGACTTTTCGCTGGAGGAACCTGGCTTTGCCCGTTTGTCTGCTGCTGCTGCGGTACATTAGGTCCTCGACTTGGCTCTCCTAGGGCAGGTGAATATACTCTCAGCTTATCTACCAAAGCTGCAGTACCGGCAACGGAATCTTCCACGGCGCGAACTTCTGATCCTGGTACTGCTTGGCTAGCAAACTCGGCCTGCCTATCATACACCGCCGGTGCCTCTTCGGATGTCGACACGTTGTTATTTGGAAGTCCCACGGAGGCGGTCAAGTACATCGAAGCATTGTCGTCGGGTGATTCACTAGAGCATCCCCTAATAGAAATATCTGGAGGAGGGTGAAACATCCTACTACCAACCTGAGACTCGGCATCGGCATTATCTACAGAGAGGAAAGAACCACCAATTGAATCATCCGCTTGGTCCTTTCTCAGCGAGTGCATTGCTTGAAAGCTCATTTTTCGAACAGCACCAGAGAGGGCATCGTCTTCCGGCTTGGGGGGAGGACTCTTTCCGTCAGATGCATCCTCATCTACTCCCACAGAGTCCACCCATTTACCTGGAATTAATGATGGTATTTTAGTCCATTCCTCACGCTGTTTCTCCACCATGTGATACCCACTATCACCTTCGTGGCATATTTCATCTTCTTGATCCTCCTCCATACTGGATGATGAGCGATCGCTCCCCATCTTCAACCACTCATGATCCAAGGCCTCTGCCTCCATCATTCGGTTAATGGGATCAACCTGCAGTAACCTCCCTAAAAAATCCTTGACAACATCGCATCCCCGACCCAGAACCCTATCGAGATGTGCGGTATTCCTAAAGCCTCTCAAAATGAGTTTCAGCATGTCGTCCTGGTTCTTGCCTTCAAATGCTGGTTTTCCGGTTAACAGCATATGGATGACACAGCCAAGACTCCACATGTCGACAGCCTCGCTGTATCGTCTTCTGCCTTTTGCGCCGAGAGCATCTTCGCGCCCGGCGTCTTCCCTAGGATTTCGTTTACGTTTGAAACTGCCCCCGCCGACCACCATTGCTGTTGCGTAGCCGGGGTAGACCTCTGGCGCAAGGTAGAGCATTGTACCACAGAAGGTTTTCAAGAATGTTTCCTCACTTTGAATCATTTTGGCAAGACCGAAATCGGAAATCTTGATCATCAATGGCTCTTCGGAGGCTATGAGGATGTTGTCTGGCTTAAGATCTCGGTGTGAAATACGCATCGAGTGAACGTACTTGATACCATTCAGGACTTGGCGCGAAACCTCCTGGACCATATCTTCCGGCATGTACTCATTCCTCTTGAGATACTGGTTAAGATCACCCCCTCCTACATACTCCATGACGATATAGATGTGCGCTGGGTCCTCAAAACAAGCGGAGCAGCTGACAATATTGGGCTAGTAAACAATCAGCATTGGCGCTACATAATCTTAACAGCATGAATGCTCACGTGGTTCAACTTCTGCAAGATCTCTACTTCTTTCCTCATACCGGAAGTTTTCCCACCGTTAGCCTGGTTTGCAAAAGCTCGTTTCTGAATCATCTTGACCGCGAAAACTTCACCAGTCTTCTTGATGACAGCCCTCTTTACAGTTGCAAATGCTCCGGCGCCAATGATTTCCATAATCTTGTATGTACCACCTCCATCCCATCCAGGATCGGTCGTGATGGCTACTGAGCTATGCTTCTCGTCATCTCGCAGTGGCGCCCCTCCACGTCGAATGGCCGCGAGATTTTTATTGTTGCCCGGTGACGGTGGATACTTTTTATTACCACGAAGATGGGGCAGTCTCGGCGTAGTTGGCAAAGGAGCTGGGCCGGGATCAATACCAAATGAGATGCCTGGCGTTCCCCCCGCAGAACAAATGCGGCTCCCGGATTGGCTCGGAATCTTAACTAGAAATCTCATGATCTCTTCCCCTGGCGCCATATATATTATACTCCCAGCAAATAATGCATGTGTGTTGCCGTTCCCATGCCCTCCGTCAGGGGGATTCTTTCCACCTAGCTTAACCCCATCCACCCACGTCCCATTCATCGAGAAATCCTCCAGCATCAGCACGCCCTTCGGGTTCTGAAAGATGCGGAAATGGGTGTTCGATATCCTCCGTGACATTTGCGTCTCCCCAATCACGATATCGCATCTATGTGGATTTCTACCAAACACAAATCCCAATGTCGGATCCTTAGGTCCCGGCGATAACCGTAGCGCAATATCTAGTCCCACATCACTCTGTACCTGGCCGGGCGTTGCTAGCTGCGTAGCCGGCTCGTCCTCGTCCTCTCCGTTCGCTTCTGGTATTGCTGTGTCGCTGCCGTCACCTTTTTTCTTTAACTCACCTGGGACTTTCAACACGTGTGTGGGTTGCTGACGTGATAGATGTTCCACAGCCGCACATGCCTGGGTAGACGCCGGATGGAGGAGACATAAAACGCCAGTGTAATCAGTTGCGTTCGATGGTGGCTCACCTTCGTGGCCGGGGAGCGGCTGGGTTGCTTGTTGTGTTGCTTCCTCCTCCTCCATGCTGATGTTGGTATATGTAGTGGGTTTATTATTTATAATGTAGAGTTCTGTGATGGGTACGTAGATTATTTGGGAAACACTGTGCTTATAACCTAGACGAGGCGCGACAATCGATAATCAGGCAGTAGCGATGATAGCAAGGTAGGCTGTGCGTGGGCGATGACGGCAGAAGGATATGTGGAGAGGAATTGGGAGTGTAGCCGCCTCCCCTTGGTATGTAGATTGTATGTATAAGACGTGTATGTAGTGTATCGTCTATCGTGCGTAGTGTAGCCTAGTGAGTGAGGTTGAGTCTAATATGTATTGAATAAATATGTACTTACGACCACCAACACTGCACCCTACAAGCTCAATGCCTGAATTCCAAAACGCAGAACCAAAAAGAAAGGCACCGTGTAACTCGTAAACATGGGATAAAGATTTGGAGCGCGCCGAGAAGCCCGTAGAAGGATTGCGTTGCGCAGAGTAACGTCGAGAATTCGGAGGGAAAGAAAGAAAAAGGTTGTGCACAACTCAAAGCTTCTTCTTCCTTGGTGGCGATTGTTGAGGATCCTCCTTTCTTCTACACATACACGTCCAGGCTCGAGTCTAGGAATCAACAAGGCACAATAAGCAACCAGCACACGGGCGGGGGGCGGAAGGAAAAAATACGCGTGTGCGTGTGGGTGGGTGAGTACTTTTCTACTTCCCACGAAGCTAACTCAATAACTAGGCAGCCGCGGGAGGAGCAGCGAAGATGTTGCCAAGTATACCAGCAGGGTCCGAAGCTAACGCGTGCAATTATTCTCCGTTATAGCGGGGGTGTGGAGGAGCTCGTATCTAGTGGGAATGAGGACTTGCCGGCCGTCGTTGAGATTTGGCAAGGGGGGAGGGGGGGGGGGGGGTGGAGGAGGAGGGGTGAGTTGGAGGTGTGGAGGGGGAGGAGAGACAGATAAGTAGACAGATATACAAGCGAGCCTCAGAGTGAGACTTGGGAAAAGAGACGTGCACACTCAAGCTTCCTCAAAGTCAAGTCTGTGCTCTGCTATATGTATAGCATACACTCGCTAATCCAAGCAAGAATGAGTGGCCCTCAAAACGCACGCAGCACAAACTTAAAAAAACTTTTTATCAACCACCACTCACCACCACCACACGCGAAATTGATAATCAATTCACGTGCCCGCGCGTAAAGTGGTTTCTCAGACAACCAGGAGATGAGGAGGAGGGAAGGGAAAGGGCGTGCGGACGGATCCGGGTTCCTATTCGTTTCCCCCTGCATTGTCGCGTAACTAATTCAGCAGTTGTGTAAAAGAGGCATGGTATTGGCAGGGCAGAGGGCGGGGTTAAGAAGGAAGGAAGGGGGGGGAGAGAAGGGAACGGGGCAGGAGCTCTATGACGGTGCTTGTACTAAAGAAGAGCCCATACCAACTTTAGAAGAAAAACCAACACGGCAGATATGATGCAAGCTTCCGGTAAAGCAGTGTTCCCAGGGACCAGGAACCCGTGCGAAACAAAAAAGCGAAAAACAAAAAAAGGTAGGGCTGTTGGGTGTGTGTGCGGTATGTGTGCGGTGAAACGATAGAAAGGAAAGTTGGGTTCTGGATATATATGTAGAGTGGTAATGTTATCTATCGATCGGTGTTGTACTCTAGGTGATGATGCTGAAGAATGAGAGCAGGATGAGATGAAAATGAGTCAAACCGTTTTATGAGTGTTTGTAGCAGTAACAGTTCAATGAGATTCATGATGTGGTTATCGTCGCCCGTTGTACTCATCTACCATCTCCAGCTCCGATGCAGATAAAAAAGAAAACAGAAAAACAAGTAAACCAGATAGGAAAGAAAAGGAATGCAAAATCCCCTCTAAAACCAGCCTGTTGGAAATGCCAATGCCAGACCAAAAGGTCAGCGGCGAGATCGAAAGCGGAAAACATCACGAAGTGCTAACGCGTGGGGTGCAGGGATGGGGTTGAGCAATAGGATATTCCTCATCGCGTTAGATCAGCTGCATCTCGTGACAGGGATGTTTCACAGGCGATCGAGTGGTCTCTGCACTTTGCGGCGCGCGCACCAGAGCAGAGATTTTAGTCAATACCGATCGAACAGTCTCGTCTCGGCCGCGGAGGAGAGAAAGGGTCTGTTCATTGATGCAAGTATTAACAAGTTGTAGTATGAGTCCCCTTATTCGATTAAACAAAGCCGAGAGGTTGGATTGGGACCTATTCCGCAAGTTGTGTCACCATGATGATATATACCCATTGACTAAATATCTAAGAACGCTCTCCGAATGATAAATGGTGATGTAAGCCAAACAGACAAACACTTTGTTTTTTCCCGCTCCCCTTCTCACCCACACCTGCGTTATCAGCCCATCCATTCCCACTCCTCTCCTTCCCTTCCACACCTTCCATGTTTCACGTCTCCCACCCTCCCGGGGGAGGCGAAGGGCAGAGTAAATGTTTTTTTTTTTTTGGGGGGGGGAGGGGAGGAGGAGCCGAAATTACATGTAGCGATCGAAGAATCAAATGTGTGCTTCTATTCTTCCTTCCCTTCCTCTCCCTACCTATTACGTCCTCGTGTATCTACTTCGACCTGACCGTGCATACATAGCTTTGTTTGTCGAAAAAAGAATTTTTGACGATCGACAGAACCTCGAATCGAACCCTTGTCGCAACCAGACAACAACCTGTTGCGGGAAAGGGAAGAAAAAACGCTCGGGACACGTGCCAAGGAAATATCTTGCAGTCGTCTCGCGTCATACCTAGCCTTATTCCAAGAGGTGGGAACGACAGCTCAACACATTTGCGGGCCCCCTCCTGCTGCTTGAACCACCATAGCAGGTTGTTGCAACCAGAGTTAACGCCTCCACAACGACCCCTCTAACACCAGCATAGTAAGTTACCACATATTTTGCCCACCTCTGCCACCAACAACCTCCCCCCCCCGCCCAAGTACCCCCCCCTTTCCTCCGTCTGTCTCCCCCTTAACCCCTCCACTACATGTACTTACAGCAACCTGCTTGGTTTTTTTAAAGTTTTCTTTTCGGTTGTCCTTCGGCTGTCTTCCCTCCGCCTCCGCTGTCACCCTGTCTGGTCGTAGTCTGCCCGTCCCCACCACTACCACTACCACTACCACTACCACTACAACCACCTACCACTACAACCACCTACATACCACTACTACATACCACCACCACTCTCTACCTGGCCCCACAACCACACCACTCCCGCATAGTAACAACTAAAAACTACTGCTGCCCTCCCAACTGCCGCCCTCCCAACTGCTGCCCTCCCAAAAGCACTTTTCTAAACCCCTCCATGCCGCCCTCGCACTCTACCACCTCAACCATCCCCGCCGCCACTGCATCGGGTCATCCTGCTACTACTACTACTCCTAGCCCATGTAGCTCTCTGCAACCACAACAACAACCACAACAACAACAACAAAAATCTAACACCGCTGCTACCGCGGTTCCAGCGACGTCCTCACATCTTCTAGGGACCTTCCAAACCCCAGCCCTACCAATGCATCCCCCGTCCCCCGCGCCCCCTCCCCCCGCCTTACAGACTCACACCCCACCCAGCAATTCCGATGACCTGGACCCATCTCCCGCATACTCTCCGCTGTCCACTCCAGCCCAGACACCAAGACCTCCACCATCGCCGCCCATGGCTCCTGTCGATGCACCACTCGCGCCTTCACGCCCTCATCATGTCGACATCGCCGGCGCCGGCGCCGGCGCCACACCAACGCGAGCCACAGCGCAGACCACAACGCCTGTGGCAACCCCCCCTACTGCGTCGTCCGCGTCCGCGTCCACGTCCGCGTCTACATCTGCTGCGGCAACATCGACAAACACGGACTCCATCGCGCTCAGGAGCACTCTCCGCCTGCTGATGCTACAGCGCGAGCGCGCGCGCAACGATATCCAGACGCTCGAAGAGCTGCGTCTGCAGGCGCTCGATAAGCCCGTCGAATTCATCGAGTATATCCAGGAGCTCGCCGCTGCTGGGCACCCCACATCCTCATCCTCGTCTTCAGACGAGGAATCCACTGGTAAATCCGCCAAGTCTACTAATTCCGGTACCACATCAGCGACCAGGAAGCGTAACGGAAAGCGCGCCGCCTTCGCAGCAACAAAGGACTTGCCAAAGCCGCAAGAGATCTACCGCTGCCCCACAATCGAGTGGCAGAATTACCACGTTCTAGGCGCGCCTCTCGAAAAACTCGTTGAGGAGCAGCAACGGCGACCCATGGTGGTTCCGCAGCAGATGCAGACCGGCGGGATCCTGGGCGTCGGCGCCGAGTTTGGCGAGAAGATCTCCGGCGATGGGGGCGTTATGAAGGGGCGCATGAGGCTCTTTGATGGCGTCTCACAGCGCGGTGGCGTTGTGGGAAGATAAAAAAGGATTATAAGAGAGAGAGAGACAGGGCCGAAATGGGGAGATGGAAAAGGGTCTTATAGAGGGGATATGTTTTTAGTAGGGAAGCCGGGGAAGAAGGGGGAAAGCTAGTTAGATGTTGGTCGTTGCAGGATGATGACGATTTTCTTTTTCTCTCTCTCCCGGATTTGCTGGCTTTTTTAAACTCTTTTCTTGCGAGTCGTTTCTGCTGGTTCTTATGCTTGCCTTCTTGCCGTCTTCTTCTCCTTTATGCCTTGCCTGCTTCTGTCTCGTCTCTTTCTCTCCCTCTCCCGATCAACTACTCATCCTTATCTTTCTGTTGCTGTTTTCATGTTTCCGTTTCTTTCAAATGGCAGAGATGGAAGAGAAGGATGAGGAGTGTTCGGGAGAGAAGAGTAGTACCTACGAGATTACAAGTGCAAAATCGAACGAACAAACAAATCATCAAAAATTACAATGCCCTTCATGTGCATTTTCCCCCTTCCCCCCCCCCCCCCCTTTCTCCTTTCATATCAATATTGCTGCGAACAAAAATATACCCAACTTAGAGAGATCAATGATATCCCCTAAACATAAGGGCTATGGATTTTTTGTTTTTTACACCTCTTCCCCGCACTTAGATACCCATACCCTAATGTACATACCATCACTAGCTATAATCAAGTCGAGCACCTACATAAGTTGTATGTACTCCCCTCCGGTCTTGCTGGCCTATCCACGTAGCTCCATACACACATCGCACCAAGCACCAAGAATCACCAAGCGTCAAGCGTCAAGAGTCAAGCCAAAAGAAAAGTGAAGTGGCACATCTAGCGCCGGGAACGAAAATCTGGGGTCGATACCCCGCTTGTCTTTTTTGCACCCCGCTTTCACATGGCGGGGGTGGGTGGGAGTGGAGAGAAAGAAAGGAGAAAAGAAAAAAAAAGAAAAAAAAGGCTTGTGTGCAAATCAGATCGATTGCCAGCCAGGATCGGTCGTGGGGCTTGGCAGGGAAAGGGGGGGGGGAGGTGCGCGGCGTCTAGAAGTCTTCCGTTTTTGGTGATGGCTCGACGGTGTGGACAGTTGTCTGCGGTGGGCCGTTTCGTCTGGTGTTTTATCGCCCTCGACCTCCCGTCGCAAAGCTTTGCTTGAGTACTGACTGATTCATCGGATGAAACTCAGGCTGCGAATGATTGCACCTGACGGAACACTGACCCTGCTCTTCATTTCATTCCTGAGGGCGCGCACACCTAGAGCTCCAGCGACCGGCGATCAACCAGCGTGAGCTTGGGAGCCATGACTTCGTTCTAGTGACCGGGATCCATGCATAGTCACAGTTAAGGTCACCATACCTGTGCGGGGATATGATTATGATGGCCAAGAACATGATTTGACGGTCTGCTGATAACCTCGTCACATGGTATCGGTGTCTGTTGGTCACCTTGATTAAGGACAGACTTGGGGGTCTAGCTACGGGAAAGAGAGGGGAGTGTCAAGCATTATGACATTTCTGATATAATTATTTGCCTAGCCTCTGCCTGTTTGGTGTATTACACACTATCACGTGCTGCAGTACTCAGACGAGTGCTTGGTGGTGACTCTGGAGAAGAGTGGGATTACGTGGTAGTGAGCCGTGGAAACGCTTTTTTCGTTTTAAAGTGGAATGGTTTGGTTCCAGACGGGTTAGATCCTGTGTTCGATCGATCTGTGTTGCTTGGCTCCAGCTACTCGTTGGCAAAACGAGGGCAGTGTTGACTATACCGGAGTAGCCAGTTGGTGGTACTAAAGGGCCATATGTTTTTGGCAGTCAGTAGGCATCCCTCTATATGTTTATCTGCGCGGTAATATTTTTGCACCTATAAGTAAGCTTATAAACTATGTATAGAACTTGATCGGCTCGGTTTTGCGGCTTTTAGCTTTTAAGGCTGGACCCCTTAACTGCCTGAGATAGACCAGTAAGCGTAAGTGTGGAGGCCGACCCAGAACTCTATTATGGATATGATGTCTTCAGCCATTGAGATATTCTCCTATATTGTATAGGGATGATTTCCGTACTTATTTAGTACGGAAAGCCAAGATCCGTTTCGTGTGTTATCAAAGAACAGGAGGCGTCTTGTTAAACAGTACAACAAAGAAATCCTCAGACTCATGCACAACCACATATTTAGATATAAAGTCTAGTCTACCCACTTGGTATCTTTCAGCACCTTTAGCTCTTCAAACCTGTTGTTCGCATATATCTCAAGGCATTTCGGGAGTCCGAACTTTCCGGTCGATATAATCATTGACTCTGGTAATCTAACATGCCTAATGATAACATTAATTCATCAAGCTCTTCAAGACCGAACCCGCCTCACAACGGCTTGGAAAAACCTAGAAACCCTACCCTCAACCTCACCGAGCTATTGAAGCAGGCATCTGCCATCCTCTCCAAGCAATGGACCCGCATCGAAAAGATTCCCGGCGGAACCAACCACGAGCTTTACACCCTCTTCTTCGAGGGCCCCTCCACACCCGGGAAGGGCCCACCCCCAGCCGAATGGAGCTGCATAGCCCGCTTCCCCCGACACGACACTGACAAGACGCTCGCCATGCTCAAAAGCGAGCTGACCACCATGCGCCACGTCACCGCAAAAACCGTAATCCCAATCCCAAAAATCTACCACTCGGACTTAGACCCAGCAAATAAGGTTGGCGCTCCCTACATGCTGCTCGAGCACCTTCCCGGGCGGAACTTACACGACGTCTGGCATGACCCCGCAACGACCTTCGCCCATAAACAGTCAATCGTCACACAGGTCACCGGCATCCTCGCACAACTCTCCATGCTCCAATTCCAGCAGATTGGAAGCCTTGTCTCATCTCCCGATACAAACGGGGGTGACATCACTGTCGGTCCCCTCCTCGACACATGCTACGCATCAAAGAGCTGTGGGCCCTTCGACAGCACGTTGGCATATCTGACGTCGTACATGCCGCCCGAGGCTGAGATCGGCGCTGACCCTATCCTCCAGTTCTTGTTCCGCCACATCCGACACCGTCTTGAGGACTATCTCTCGCGGCACGCTAACGAATCGCATATCGCTGCGCCGTTCCGCCTCATTCATGGGAATCTCACATCGCCGAACATACTCTTCGTACCGGGGACATCTCCCGGGTCGGCGCCGAAGTTGTCGGGAGTCATCGATTGGGAAGATGCGTATGTGGGCCCGCTGTACAACCTCTATGAGTATCCGCTCTTCCTGCACGACAGCGAGTCGTACCCCGAGCACCACGGGGAGAACGAGCGGCTGAGAGCGCATTTCGTGAGGGCGCTGGTGGAGCAGTGGGGGAAGGGTGGGGTAGACGCGGAGGTGGCGGAAAAGTGTATGAAGGAGAAATGCCATCTGCTGAATCGGTTTATGTGGGTGTTTATGTATGCGGGTGATAATGGGCTGGAGGAGGCGGAGAGGTACATGATGGACATGAGGAGGGGTAAGGGGAAGGCATATTCGTGGAGTAGTGCGGGGACTTGATGCGTGCGTGTACGGTTGGGGTTTTCTGTAGGAAGCTTTTTATTTTTATTAATGAAAATCGATTCATTAACTACTATTGCATCTTCATGAAAAGTCACTCGCAAATTTATAACCTCCCAACCCAAATTGCGCCCTGATCACGGGAAGAACATATCATAGCCACATGTTACTAGTTCAAAGAGATAACCTCTTCCACGATTTCCGAAAACATTGGCCCGGTACCTCCCATCTAGTACCATATCAATCCCATATGAGTATTTCCCCCTCGCAACACCTAGCCTATTCTCCACCATCCCACTAACCAGATCCGACTAGCCATCATGTAAACCACCCAATCAAAACATCCCATTTTACGTAAAACCGCCATGACGGCATTAATTACCGAGTGATAATCCATGGCCCCAATCCCACTTTGGGGCGTCGTTCAGCCACTAGACGCCTCCACGGGGTAGGACGCGAGGGTTCAAGTATGGCACCTTCTGCGATATTGTAAGAAATCGACGAAAGTAAGATAACAAAAGAGATTATGTTTTCTACAGGGAACCATACCTTACCGTATGTTGATTCCCCCCCCAAACATTCCGATGTCATAAACGCTACGAGTGAAGACTACTCCCTGACCTCTAGAATGTGGTTGGTAACCACCTCGAGAGAGGCGAATATAAGGAAAAAGTGGTAGCCATCTACAACATGGTTCATCCCTATCATCCGGCATACTTATCGTGTACCGCTACGCCACTGACGAAGATTAAACATCAAGCTACCACAGATCGTCACCAAAGGTACATGCCACGATTGATTAGTCTCTGATTAGTCTCTCGGTATATCTCGGAGGTAGAAATGAGATTTATATCCTTCATGAATGCGCACTTTTATATTTCAGACAAGACAGATCATGGTCATGAGATCGCACAAAAAGCCCAAGAAAAGCGGTTTATGATATAGCTTAAGATGGAAGGAGAAATAAAAAAAAAAAATAAGAATGTAGCCAGCCTTCTCCCACAACCCACAGCCCACCAGAATATAATGCATGATATAAAGAACAAAAACTGAAAAAGAAAAAGAAAAAGAAAAATCAATTTATCATTTATCAAGTATGCCTAGTAGAATAAACGGCATCTATCCACTAAGCCCACCTGTCCTCGAGGACGTCCAAGTTCAACATCTCTTTCGTGCCTAATTTCTTCCCGAACAACCACTCAGAAGTCGAAATCCTTCCTATAGCAACACACCAAGTTAGCTCTCTTCTTCCCCCATCATGCGATCTTGTAGAATCATCATACCTGAACACATCAATGTCCATTCCGTTCGTCACCAAATCCGCCAGGTCCCTCCTTCCCATCTGGCTAAATACTCTTCTAAGGGTATCAAATAGGTTTGTGCTCTGGTTCTGCACAATCCTTCCGGGGTCTAACCCAATGCTTCCGGCGTCTTGTCTTGCTTTCTCCTCGGCGACCTTGTGCATTGCCAGCGCGCCTAGCAGATGCTCAGCGGCTTGTTCGTAGC